TGACTTCATGAAAATGCAAAGGTAGTTTAAAAGAAGAAGGTGTGCTTAGCAAAGAATCGATATCCAGCATGAGTCTTGAGTACCCACAGAAACAAAAATAACCTGAGAGAAAAGCAGGCAGGAAATACGAGGGGAATATTTAAAGAAGAAATACAGTACAATTGACCAGCAAACTTGAGGAAATATATTTGACCTCAGTAATAGTAAAACAGGAAGACATTTTTGAAAGACTGGTAATAGCACATCTTGATGAAAATGCAGAATGATGAACATATCATAAACTAATTGAAGGAGAATTCCAGTCAGCTTAAAAATACGTTAACTTTGCTGTAGTTGTAGGCTTAGTACTCGTCCTGCTGACATGAGTGCTAACAAATGTGCCTTCAGGAGTTGTTTGCATCTTAGAGTAAAAGATAAGAAACCACCCAGATGTCCATAGACAGATGCTCTAGATCACAACCTGAACTGCAGAGTACTGCATATGATTGCGATGAAGAGGTTGGAACTAACATAATGACACAGAAAGATCTTTAAGACCTTTTAGTTAAAAAATACTAAGTCACAGTAGCTCTGCAGTTTAACTTCAAGTCAGGGATTGTGATGACACCCTGGCTTGCATTTGTTGCCCAGAACTACTTTCCCTATTCTAGGTCTCTTCTGGTTTCAGTGAATTTTAGTGTTGTTTTCTCTAATTCTATGAGGTATATTAATGGCATTTTGGTTGGACTGCATTAAATCTATACAACAATTTTACAAGTACGGTGACTTGTACTATGTTGGTTCTTCCAACCCAAGAGCGAAGGATATCTTTCCATTTTCTGATATCCTCTTTATTTTTTTGAGAAACAGCAAAGAGACAGTTTCAAAATAGGTTAGTAGGACAGTAACAATAATTACTACATTGCATATTGTCTCCATAGTACTTATTCATCATATAGTATGCAGACATGATATCCTGTCCAAACACTATTAGTACAAATCTTTTTTCTGATAACCTTTTTTTTTTTGTGTGGAACTGGAGATTGAACTCAGACCCTTGCGCTGCCAGGGAAGCACTTATTCTACTGAGCCATCTCCCCAGCCCTAATACCCTCTTTAATCCCTGAAAATTTTCAATTTTCAATATAGGGGTACTGCAGTTTTCAATATAGAAGTCTTCTATTTCCTTTGTTAGTTTGATTCCTGAGTATTTCATTTTTTACGATCCTATCTTGAAGAGTACTTTTCCCTAATTTCTTGCTGAGTGAGTTGTTATTTTTGTAAAGAAATGCTGTTGATTTTTGAGTGTTGGCTTTGTATCCAGCTATGTGACTGAATTTGGTTTTTAAATCTACAAGTCTTCTGGTGGAATTTTGGGGCTCTTCTATGTAGATTGTCATGTCAACTGCAAATAATATAATTTAACTTCAGACAAAAAAAGACCAGAAAAAAAAAAAAGACGAGAGAATCAGTGAAACATATTAGAAGATGCAGAAACAACCCCAGTCACACTCAGCCACCTTAGCTTTGACAAAGGGGCCAAACACATTCCCTTGAAGAAAGACAGCCTCTAATAAATGGTGCTGGAAAACTGGCTTTCCACATACCAAAGGCTAAAACTAGATCCTTATCTATCACCATGCACTAAACTGAAATCAAAATGATCAAAGATCTAAATATTAAAACAAAAAGAAAATCTACTGGAAGAGAAAATAGGTAGAACTCTTAAAGACATGTGCAAGCAGAGACTTCATGAGCAAAACCCAGATAACATGGGAAGTATTATAAAGAACAACTGGGATCTCATCTTATGAAAAAGCTTTTGCTATGCAAAAGAAATCAACAGGGACTGGGAGGTAGCTTGCTGGTCTAAGCACCTGTCTGGCAAACACAAAGACCTGGGTTTGATCCCTGGTACCTCACACCACACAAGCCCTGGAACCATGGGCACACTGTGCCAGCCACCACCAAAATCAGGCATGGGGGCACATGCCTCGTAATCCTAAGGAGGCTAGCACAGGATCTGTACGAGTCCAGTCTGTGTAGTGAGACCCTGTACCAAATAAAAGATTTTTAAAAAGAAGAAAGAAATCACCAACTAAGTGAAAAGAAAACCCCACAGAGTGGGGAAAAAATTTGCCAGTTACTCCTCAGAAGACTAATATCTAGATAAAGAACTGGAAAAAAAAAAAAAAACAGATCCCCTAAATTCAAAGACCCAATCCAAAATTGGGCATCTGAGATAAATACACACTTCTCAGATAAAAGAGTACAAATGGCAACTATATGAAAAAATGTTCCACATCACAGATCATTCAAGAGAGGCACATTAAAACAACACTGAGATTTCATCACCTATTATCAAGAAATCAACCAGTAACGAATGCTGGCAGCACTGGGGGAAAAGGATGTAGAGAATCCTTTAAAGACTAGAATTAGAGGCCCCATTCAACCCAGCTATAACCTTTCTTGGTATTTTCCCAAAAGAATAAAAGCATCATCCCACAGTGAAATGTGCACATCCATGTTTTTTATAGCGGCACAGTTTGAAATAATAACTAAATCTTGGAAACAACCCAAATGCTCATCAACTGATAAATGGATAAAAATGATGGGTTTTTTTTAATATAATGGAGTATATTCTGTCATAAAAAAAGATAAACTTGAGACCTTTATTGCTAAATGGATGAACCTTGAGACCATTCTCTTAAGTGAAATAAATCAGACACATGTATAAATATTGCATTGTCTTCCTAGTGTGAGAAACAAAGTATAAATAAGAAATTGTGCAAGAGCTAACAGTGAAATGGGAAGAAACAGTTCAAAAGAAAAGGAGGAACTGGGGAGGGGGAGGGGGAAGGAAGGAAGGGGGAAAATGAGAACAGAATAAAATGGAAACAGAAGCTCTGTAAATAGGGAAAGAGGGATTGAAAGGCGGAGACTAGAATGAGAGGAGGAAAAAAGATAAATGAAGGTGTATCATGTACAGGTACAAATTCCCTATGCTGAATGCTATCATTCTATATACGTAACTTGCACCAATACACTTAAATGTTTTCTAAAAGTCACCAGACAGTACTTAGGAGTGGCTTTTTAATGTTAAGTACGTAGGCACATGTGTATGTATTTCCAGAATGTGCATGCTGATGCCCAGAGAGGGAGTGACCGGCTGCATCCTCCTCTGGATGACGCCTGCAGGAACAGGAAAGGGGACTGGCAGGACTGACCCTTCGGCACTACTCCGTGTGATTCATACTTAAGTAAATATTCAAAATCCTACAAATAGGAACAAAATTAATATCCCTTCGTTCACTAAATCATGCAAAACATTGAGCCATTGTTTTTGACCACCTACCTAGGTAGTGGATACTCTTTCAAGAACGAATTTAATGAGGAGAAAAAGTTAACTTCTAAAATTTGGGTAGGCTTTAAAAATAATTTTCTACATTTTTCATATTTGTGGTAAAACACACATAACAAATTTACGATTGCAGCCTAGTTTTAAGTGTACAATTCAGCGGCGTTAAGTATATTCACAGTGTTGTGCAACTACCACTATCCATCTTCAGTACTATCCTAGATACAAAATCACATGTTAGATAACTTGCCAGTTCTCTTTCCCCAGCCCCTGGTGACAATATTTTTGCTCCTAAATTTGTGTATTCTAGGTCGCTTACAGAAATAAGTAGCCTGAGGCAGGAAGATAACAAGCTGGGAGCCAATCTGGGCAACTCAGTGAGACCCTGTCTTACAATAAAAACAAAAGGGGATGGGGATATGGCTCAGAGCTTTGGTCGAGTCTGCAGTACCTACATGCACACAGGCACACACCAACACAAAACGTTAAAAGATCACATTTTCCCATTTGAGTTTGGCATATTTCACCAAGCGTCCTGATTTTAAGGTTCATCCATTTTCTAGCATGTGTCAGAATTTCATTCCTTTTTATTCCATTGTACCGGTATACACATTCATCCATCCGCTGATGACGTCTGGGTCATTTCCAGCTTCTAGCAATTGTGACTAACGCCACCATGAACACTGAGTTCCTGCTTTCAGTTGAAGTACAAGCCTAGGAGTGGAATTAACAGATCACAGGCTTATGTTTGACTTTTTAGGAGCTGTCAAGCTACTTTTCATAGCAATCCCACCAAATGCACAGAAGTTCCAATTTTCCACTTCCTTGCCAATAATTACTATTTGTTTTTTGTTTCATGTAGCTACTAATAAGTGTGAAGTGGTGTTTCCTTGTGGCTTCTCTAATGATGCTGAACATCCTTTCATGCACCTGATGGCCATTTCTAGATGATCTTTGGAGAACTGTTGGGGTTCTTGCCAATATTTGGATTTGGTTGTTGTTTGTTGAATCATAAAATTTTCCTATCCTGGATAATCGTCTCTCATCAAATATGTATATTTTATAATTTTGTACCATTCTGTAGGTTTTCACTCTCATATCCTTTGATGAACAGGTTTTTAACCTTGATGTCAAATTTATCCAGTTTTACTTTAGTTGTCTATGCTTTTGGCAATCAAGAAATGATTGCCAAGACTAATGTCATGAGGCTGTCTCTTGTTTTCTTCTAAGAATTGTGGTTGAGTTAATTTTTGTGTATGACACATAGAAGGCTCCAATTTCATTCTGTAGCATATAGCTATTCAGTTTTCTTCATTGAATGGTCCTGACACCCTTGTCAAAAAATCAGCTGACTCTGTATGAGAAGGATTATTCGGGGGCTCTCCATTCTGTTCCATTGACTGTGCGTCTGTCTTAATGCCAGCATCACTGGTTTGACTGCTGTAATTTTGCAGTGTGTTTTAAAACCAAGAAATATGACTTTTCGAGCTCTGTTGTTTTGCAAGCTCTTTAACTTTTGGGGGAATTTTATTTTATTTTTTAACAGTGCTTACTGCTTGTAAAACGCATGAAATTTCCATCTGAAAAGATGCACTCAATAATTTTCTGAGGTTGATCATTTTCTTCTGTTTGCTGAAGTGTGTATTTATGCTCATCCTTATAGAAAGACTATCCCATACAAAAGGAAGTTCTGAGGAGAAGGCATTCTCTCCAACCAGATTGTGTGCCAGAACCTCCAAGCAGGTCAAATTCAGGTAACTTACTCTGTGGTTGAAATCTATTTATTTGCTCATTCATTCATTCTACTCCCTAAAATACTATTCAGAAGTCAGGCACGGTGTCACATACCTGTAGTCATAGTGCTAGGGAGGCTGAGGCAGGAGGATCCCAAGTTCAAGGAGAGCCTGTGCTGCATCCCATTCAAGTCTCCAAGTTCCTGGGGGAAGGATGGCAAGTAAATGGAAGAATAAAGATAAGAGACAGAAAGATGAGGTCAGATGTAGTGTTCCCTAAGGCTGGGAGGAAAGGAACTGGTCAGCCACCATAGTGCCTTTATTATTCTCTCAGGAGACTGATGTCAATTTCAACCCCTCTGCCAACAACTCCATGTGGCTCGCCTGAGCACCTCCCATTCTCAGAGCTGGAACAGCTTGTTTTCGTGGCTTGCCTTGCACATGTGATTAATACCCATCTTTAGCCTCTCCCTACAAGCCTGAGATACATGGTGAGTTTAAGGCCAACCTGAACTACACAGAAAGAAGCTAGCTCAAAAAACTAAAAACAACCTCCTACTCAAAAGATGGAAACAGAGCAAACTGCAGAATTGAATACTTGTCTTAAAGGAATGTAGAGTATATTTAGAAGCCCAGTTACATGTTTTTACAACATTAAGAATAGTGTGCTCACCAAAATCCTAAGTGTCTTGAATACAAGGGGTCTCATGCATCTGATGGGAAGAAAGCCATGGTTCAGGAGAAGGGAACATTTGTGGAGACAGTCTTTGAAGTCAGAATTGACCCAATCCAAAGCACAGGCTTGGATTCAAGGCTTGGTCTCAGATTCAAATGGAGGTACTTTTTTTTTTCCATTATGACAGAGGGAAAGCAGAGTGTAGCATACTGAAGCCATTTGTGTCTAATGTTGGCCAAATATTTAACTTCACCAAAACCTCATCCATCAAATTATGAAAATAATTGTTCCTACTCTCACAGAATAAAAGAATCAGTGGGACATGCATGGGAAGGCTGCTGCTATTCTTCTGCCCTCAGTTGTTCCCAGGTGACAGTCACCTTCCCTACTGGAGCCAAGTCCCTTCTTCTGTCCTCCTGACACTTCCTGCCTGTTCTGATTTCCATCATGCTTGCCCTGCCCCCCACAGCCTGACGCTCCTACCGATTATCTACAGAACCCCCAAGAAGCAGTGCACCTCCTAGGTGCTTTCCACTTTTCCTTATTTTCAGGATGTTATTCTGAAGGATAGACTCATAATGGTGCTTGGGTTTTATTTCACTTTTCAATGTTTCATGAAATTCACACTGATCATGTCTTCTCTGCTGCAGAACAGCCTGGCTCACTGCACAGTTCCCAGGGACTTGAGATAGGACCTGTGGAGGAGTCCGATTTTTCTGCCTCCCTGGAGCACCAACAAGAAGAGTATGAACCCATTCTGCAGCATAAACTCCAGAAGGAAGCCGACTATCATGCTTTTGGCAGGCGCATGGACCAGCAGACAAAACAACAGCCCATTCAGAGTGTGGCTCATAACATAGAGGAGGAGAGGAGACGAAGAGTCTCTCATGACCCCTTTGCACAGCCAAGACCTTTTGAGAGTGCTCAGAACACAAATGTAAAAGATCCTGCTTATCATAGTGCAGCCGGCCACAGTAACACAGGACACCAGCCAGTAGGACTAACCAGCCAGCCGCACATACAGAACTGGGGCAGGGAATTCTATAATCTGCACAGGCCTGGAATAAGACCATTTGATCCAGCAACACCGGGGGCAGGAACTTGCTATGGGCCACATCCAAGCCAAATGGCCAGTCTGTTTAAGACTCCAGTGCCTGAGACCAACCTAGCAGGAAGCACACCCACCCTTCCACTCTTCTGCTTTTCATCAACAGGTAAACAAATGTTCAAGAGTCACAATCTCCTGTGTTTTTATTTTTCTGCAAACAAAGTAGCTGTTAGCTCTGTTCTTCACTGCAAGTTACTGGTGGCAACAAAGAACAGGCTGTGTAGTCTTCGGTTACTGGCTGCCACTTGTCACCTTAGGACAGTCTCCGTCAGACCACGGGGGCTGGGAATATTTCGGTTTTGGGTTAGGGCTCATCCCAGCTGCCCACAGATGTTGGGCTACAGGTCCTTGTAATCGACAGTGTCTTCTTCTCTGACACAAATGGCATTGTCCCTTCCATTATTCTATCCTGTCTCCAACAAATGGGAAAATATTTGCTTACTCTTACCTTGCTTGTTTTTTAAAGGTAATAGGTAAGTCTTGGAAATGTTTCTTTCTTATGTAAACCAAAGACTACCTTTTGCGATGCGACGCTTTCTTTCAATTTCCACGTGGCTATCAGGTAGAATGAAAGCTAGTTCCTCACACTTACTGACACTCTAGAGTAGAAATGATTTAACTAAATATCCAGATTGTTACCAACTAACTCTTACCAACACCATGTTAACCATTTGGATGTCGTCTGTTAAACCTGTTATGCGGTGTCCTGGGAGTCCTGAAATTAGTATAGGTAGATGAAGCTTTTTTTTTTTTTTTTGCGGAACTGGGGATTGAACTCAGGCCCTTGCGCTTGCCAAGGAAGGGCTTATTCCACTGGACCATCTCCCTGGCCCTCATTTTCTTCTGAAAGGACAAATTTCCAGGAATCTCCTAAGGAAACATTCTAGATTTTTCCTATCAGGATGCCATACAACTCTATGGAATGCAAAATACTGGAAAAGACATTAAACAGGATCTGTACCATACATACTCATGAGTGCAACATCCTTTTGTTTCCTTTGTGTCTACAATTAAAATATTTGAGTGTTGCCACATCATTTTATTCATTCATGATTAATTCAATAAAAATTTCCATTAAATAAGATAAAAAATTTAAAAACTAAAGCTGGGGAGATGGCTCAGTAGAATAAGGGCTTCCCTGGCAAGCGCAAGGGCCTGAGTTCAATCCCCGGTTCTGCAAAAAAAAATTTCCAGAGCACTTCCCACTTTGTGCCACACAGTGTTTTAGGGACTGCAGAGATGAAGAGGCAACCTGAGCGGCTTCTAAATCTTGGTGGATAGAAGGCAGATCACAAGGCAGTGTGTAATGGTCGTTTTTGGTCTTGTTTCTCCATGAGTGACCCATGCTCCCCAGTGTGGTGCCAGGAACCACTCTCCACTCTCCCTTCTCTGGTACCTGGTTCTGCAAATAGCAGACCTACAGGGCTCCAACCTCGTCATCACTCTGAGAGGTTCTCTGTGGTAAAAGGAGGACTTCAGTCAATAATCACAATGGTGGCATCTGTGCTGCTGCCCCAAAGATGATCCTGAACAGTACAGAGTTAGTAAGTGAACAATGTGAGTCTCTCATGGCAAATTTCACTGTTCTACTTGCTTCTATTGTGATCATATAGACCTAACTCTGCACCAGATGCGCGTCTTCTGACTTACTCTGCAACTTAAGGACCAGGCTGTAGTAGTACGCGTAAAAGGAGCGTCAGTGCCTGGCACTGTGACATGTGCCTGTTACTCCTCGCTGTCAGAAGACAAGCAGAAGTGCAAGTTCTAGGCCAGCCCAGATATTGTAAAGGGAATTTGTCTCAAATTAAAATATGTTTTAAAAGTCCTGGGGGTGTGACTCGGTAGGGCTCGATCTCTAGTAGCACACAAAAAAGGAAAGAATAAACGTTCATTTTTGTGAAATAGCTCCCAGGCCCTTTGTCTTTCTTCAGTGCACTTCTTTAAGTGACATTCAGAAACGACAGCTCACTATCTGTGTCACTTTGGGCTGATCGATCAGTTTGCCTTCCAGGATTCATTATCAATTATAAATGAAAATGCTACATTGGAAGGATGATGATTATTATTACTATACTGCAGACCTACTGTAAGCTCTCCTGTGTTTCCAGTACAGGATTTCATCAGTTTCTCCATTTCAAGCTTTTCGTGGCTTTCTCGGGCACAAAAAGGCACTGAGTGCAAAACTCAGGCTTTGGGTAGTGAGATCCACGGTTAAGTCGCACTGCCGAGTCACATGCTCTCTGACTTCCTCTCTAGGCAAGTAGCTAACATAGACTGTTACTGGACAGTGTCAGCTTAAACTACAGACATGGGCTATGAGAATGAGAGTGAGTGAGGCTGTTCACTGCGATGCCTTGTAATGTGCGGAACAAGAGCTTGGTAACAGGTGGCTCCTGTCCTCATCACCACTATCACCCACAAACACTACACAGGCAAGCCCTTCAGAGCTGGAAGGCGCCTCGGGCTGTCTGCAGGGGCTTACGTGGACTGCAAGGTATTGTTTCAGCAGCTTCCTGGAGCGCCCCAAATTAGAGATGCCAAGAATGCATCAAGGAGTACAGCTTTACTTCAGGTGTTTAAAATAATGATCTGGTGCCAGCCCTTAACACTTTCTTATAAAAATGTTAATGTCCTACCTCACACCAGACTCACTACTACTGAAAAGATGTTGGCAGAAGAGTGGAGTATGTTACTTTCCTAATCATTTTCGGTGGGCAGTTCAGCGGCATTAAGAACGTTCAGTGTTTGTAACCATTATCTGTCCATCTCCAGAAGATTTTTATCCTCCCAAACTGATAGTAACTCTGTCCCTATTAAACACTAACCCTCCACTACCCCACCCAAACCCTGGCAGCCATCATTTTCCTTTCTGTCCCTGTGACTCTGACATTCTAAGTACCTCATATAAGTGGAAGCATAGAGTATTTGTCCTTTTTTTCTCTCATTAACTTTATTGAAAACCAATAAATATATAGTATTTGTCCTTTAACTCACCTACTTAGAAAATGTCCTCAGGGTTCATGGACATTACAGCTTATATCAGAATTTCCATACGCTGATGGCATCTTTCAGGTATTGTGAGTAATGTTGCTGGGTATAAAAAATTCCTCCATTCAATTCTTTTGAAGTATATACCCAGCTATGGAATTACTGGATAGTACAGAATTTGTACTTTTTTTTTTTTAAAGACAGTGTCTTGCTATGTAGCTCAGGCTGGTGTAGACTCATTACGTAGCCCAGGCTGGCCTTGAACTCACAGCAGTTCTCCTGCCTCAGCCTCTAGAGTGCTGGGATTATAGGTGTGCACCACCACACACAGCTACTTTTCATTTTTTGAGGAAACTCATACTGTTTTCCACTGTGGCTACACCATTTTGTATTTCTATCAGCATTGTACTGAGATTGCATTTTCTCCACCTTCTTGCCAACATTTTTAATAGTAGCCATCCTAATGGATGGAAGGTAGTTATATCTTAAAAAGAAAACGTTAAGGGGTGGCATAGGATAGTTAATTTAATTATGTGGAATAATATTTAAGGATCAGTAATATTTCCCTGATCCTTTATCATGCTGGTTTTCTTGTTTTTGATCTTGATATAATTAACTTGTGTTTCTCTCCATTCAGATGAACTTATAAAATCCCAGGTAAACGTAAGCAACAGTAGTAACATCCAGTTTGGAGCCTATAATTACATGGAAATTAGGAGAATGAACTCACAACCAGAAAACACATGCACAAACTTGGAAGAGGAGTCAACTTCTAAGTACCAAGCTATCTTTGGTAAGATGTAATGTGACATATTCACAGTGGGACCATAATCCATGCATCGCACTGCCAGGTGGCTGCTCACCACTGGTGGTCCAAGCTGCCTCGTGGGAAAGTCATGTACAAGCTGCCTGATGGGACAGCCATGCGCCTACCCCATAGTTCAGGCCAGCAGGAACACGTTTAGACCCCAATGTTGGGAATGGAGTTAGAGTTCAGTGAGAGAGGACATGTGTGGTGTGTGCAAGGCCTACAGGTCAATCCCCAGCACTACAAAAAATAAAATCCAATGTGTATAGCAACCTTGAATCTTCTGGTTTGTTGAATGGGATAAAGTAGAATCTTAAAACTTTTCTGGTGATCTTTTTTTTTTTTTTTTTTTGTATTTAGGACAGGGTTATAGGGGCGTACAGGGTCTCACTGAGTAGATGAGACTCATAGTGATCCTCCTGTTTACAGCTTCCTAAGTGCTGGGGTTACAGGTGTGCACCACCATGCCTAGTCTGAATTGCTGTCTCAGCATGCCTTGGGGGCAGGGCCAGAATGGCAGGCCCTGGTGATTCTTTCTTTCTTTACTCATTTCAGTGTAAATCTTTAGTAATTTTCTTTTTTTTTCTTTTTTTTTTTTTGATGGAACCAGGGATTGAACTCAGGCCCTCACACTTGCCAGGGAAGTTCTTATTCCACTGAGCCATCTCCCCAGCCCCAGTCATTTGTTTTTAATATGGGATAATTATAGTATCTAATTCATGGCTTTGTTGTGATAACTAAATTAGTCCACAGATGTAAAGAGCTCAGTGCACTGCATGCCACATGGGGAGACTCATGAAAGTATTACCCTGCCATCATCAGTGTTACTATTAAGACTTGGAAGACAAGGCTGCCTCAGGCTTCCATCAGAGGGGTCTATAATGACTGTGCTCGCACCAGCATTTCTGTAACCAAAACCAGAGGGCTGTCTCCCACTGGGTTCCACTGTGTAGCCAGCCCGTAACATTAATTCTGAGACACAGCCTGGGGAAAGCATCAAGGGCTCAAATAATGAGATTCAGAACCTAGCTTCATGCCTAACCTTGAGGTTGGTCCATGCCTAGTGGTAAATGTGTTGGGATCTACCCTAGGTCTCTCTTCAACCTCCCCAGCTCTGACGCTGTGATGTAAAAGTAGCTGTAGATGGGATGTATGTGGCTGAGCAGAGCAGTTTTCCAGTAAAACCGAATTTATAAAAAAAGCAGGGGGCCAGATTTTGCACCGAAGCTATAGTTTCACAACCTCTAATCTAATGCATCTGAAGGACAGCCATTAACTTATCTAGAACAGAGGTTCTTAACTTTTGAGAAACCCAGGTTACCTTTAAGAACCTGGTGAAACCCAGGACTCCTCCCCTAAAGAAACTGACAAAATTCACAGATGTCTGAGAGGTTCTTGGACTGCTTTCATCCAGTTATGGCAGCAAAAACCACACTGTTATAGTGTGAACAAAGAATGGAAGTTGAAAATGAGATGTACATTTAGCTTACAGAGCCAAGAAGACAGCCACGGAACATGGTTTGTACGTGGTGGCTGTTTTATTTTTTTTTTTTTCCTTTATTAGTTATATTTATGATGGGCTAAGGGGATGGAACCAATAGAAAGATTTCAGCTACAGGAGGAGAGGGGACAGTAGTTTGGGGGAAGAAGGGCAGGGATGGATCTAAAAATGGACCTCATCCCTTGAGAGACAATGGAAAGGAGTCATAGCTGAATGAATTTCACACTTGATGGTGTCAGCACAGCATCCTTAAGAAGAAAGTGAAGGGCTGGAAGATAGCTGTGCGGCATGAGCGCCTGCCTGGCAAGCGCAAGGTCCCATGTTTGATCGATCCCCAGTATAGCAAAGAGACAGACACAGACACAGACACAGACACAGACACAGACACAGACACAGACACAGACACAGACACAGACACAGACAGACAGACAGGAAAGTGAGCCAGATATAGTGGTACATACCTATAATCCCAGCACTTGCGAGGCTGAGGCAAGAGGACTGCTGCAAGTTTGAGGCCAGCCAGGGCTACAGAGTGAGTTCAGGGGCCGTGTGAACTACACAACAAGACCCTGTATCAAAAAAAAAAAGGAGAAGAGGAAGTGATCTGTCTGGAGTTGGGCGACACTGAGCCTATGTAGAGGTAGGTAGAAAATGTCCCAAGGAACAAGATTGGGACATTTTATAATTGTTTTCCCCTCTGGGAAAGGTTTACTATAAACAGTCCATTGACTAGGATTGAACAGAACACACAACTTAGTAGCCATGTATAGGTTTTGTTCACAAAGCCATCAGCAGTATCTCAAGGTAACTTTGCGAGGAGGAAGGGGTGTCCTGTTCTAAGACACATGATGATTCCATATGGACCAGGAGACTGCCAATTACTATCCAATTAATCAACAGCTCTATATAAGTATGAAAGCCTATTTTTTGCTGCCTCCTCATATTCTTCACTTTACTTGGATTTTTCAGTAATCCACAAAACTAGAATATTCAAAGGGGTTAAGGCCCGATACGTTCTTCTGTTTTCTGTTTGGCAGATAATACCACTAGTCTGACTGATAATCAACTAAATCTCATCGGGGAAAACCTGGGAAAGCAATGGAAACCTTGTGCCCGTAAACTGGGCTTCACAGAGCCTCAGATTGATGAAATCGACCATGACTATGAGCGAGATGGACTACATGAAAAGGTTTTCCAAATGCTCCAAAAGTGGCGAATGAGGGAAGGCAGCCAGGGGGCCACAGTGGGCAAGCTTGCCTGGGCCCTCTATCAGTGTTTCCGGAAGGACCTTCTGAACCACTTGGTGGATAGAGGCCAGATTTAATGCTGGAAGGGCTTTGGCAACAGGAAGCAAGCTCTCTGCTTTGGTGAAGAAGCACTGGAAGCATTCAGAATTTGTCCTCTTTGATATGGGTTCTATCCCTAACTATAGACAATTTCCTGCACTTCAGAGCTAAAGAATAGGAAGAGAAATCTGTAGCCAACAGCTTTCTTTCAGGAAAATGCAAGCTGGAAAATCAATCTAAAACGTGAGTTTGTAAAAGGAGAGAAGAGACATTCAAAAAAATCATTTCCCTTCCGCTCCTGCCATCGCCTTCATATATGCTGTCCATCCAGTTTCCTAGGGTTATGGTTGAATGACAAAGAAAGTGAAAGTAAAACAAGCCAACTTTCTTCCTGTTTTCCACAAAAAAGAGACTTATCTTTTTGGGGGGTACCAGGAATCAAACTCGGGACCTTGTGCTTGCCAAGCAGGTGCTCTGCTGCTGAGCTATATCCTTGGCCCTAGACCTCTGTCATAATCAAAATGTAAAATTATAAATTCTGGTCAAATGTTTTCTTATAATGACAACCACAGCTTATTCCAAATTATAGGATCTGTTAACTTTGTATCAAATGTTCTAGCAGTCACTACAAGCCTTAATAGTTATGTGCTATTGCATTCTATTATGTTAAATTATAGCCACTTTAATAAGCAGTTTAAGGAAAAAAAAAACACCGGAGGAAAAATCAGGTTTTCTTGGCAGTTGTTATAAGGACCAGCAAGTAACTGTGACTACCAGCAAAAGTTCCTGATTAACTTTTTTTGGTTCTTTTCTAGTACTAATACTTTGAATAACCATTACTTCTATTCCCAACAATTCTAACAACACCGTTTCCAAGCCCGTGTGTCCTGAAGAGGAAGCATATGTGCAGGAAGCACTTGCGTCTTTACTGCAGAAAGGCCAGAGGCGCAGAGCTGGCCACTGTTGAGCTGCTCCCTCCGCTTACCCCACTGTGCTGTAGAGACTTGTTCATTCGTCCCTCTGTGCCATGGAGTGCAAAGTGACAGCTTCAGAGTCTGCTTACTGCCCATAGCACTCACGCCTCCAAAGCCCATCTGCATCTCAGGGAGGCACGGAAAGCACAGAAGCCTGAAGACCATGCAGATGGTACCACTGCACTGAGCTCTCCCAGCAGGGAGGGCGAGAGGGCACGGGGAGGCTCAGGCGGGCTCGGAAGAGATGCTGGTGTCTTGGGTCCGTAACAGTATTGTCAGGTCTGCTTCTGAATCCCCTGCAACCTCAGTACGCGCATACCAGCAGGCACACCCGGAGTGGGGCCTCAAAACAGATCTCTGTGTTGGTACTACTGGCATTGTAAGCCAAGTAACTGTCGTAGGTGCTGTCCTGTCCCTTTCAGTGTGTTTGTGAGCATCACTGGCCCCACCTACTGTGCTGTATGCCAGCAATACTAGCTTCCCCTCTGCGCCTAGGTGTGACAAAAACGTCTCCAGACATTGCTTTCCACAGTATGCCTTAGATACAGAAGTGTCCAGCAGAAGGCTCTGCTGTCGGGGAGTATGCCTCGGCGCTCCTCTCCCACCTGTGTCTGAGCTTGTGTCTCACCTGCCAAACAGCACTAAAGCACACAGCCAGAAAGGCAACTTGGAGCAGGGATGTTCCAGCCTGTGCTGGAGAAGCTGGTGATTTCTAAAAACCTTCTATTGTGGCGTGCTAAATTCTCTGGGTTTTTATAAAAAGAAAAAACAAAGATTTTATGCCTTTTTTTTTTTTAATAAAAGTTTACACTTCGCTTACGGCTACTGAAATGGTACGTGCATCTGTATGAATGACTCAGCCTGGGGCGCTCTGCTAGGACCTTGCTGTGCAGTGGCATTTCCTGCTCAGACTCCCCATCTGTCCTGCCCGATGGTGCCCAGGCGCTCCCAGATGGCACGCGCTGGACCTCGGGGAGCAGCCTCCCGCATGCTCCTCTTCCCTCCGTCACCCCCACCCCATACCCTAGCTGAAAATGGCCACATTTGTCCCAGTCCTTTCATACAAAGCCCAAATTCCAACGCTGCTTGGAGCAGAAACTGTAATCGGGCCAGCCCAGACTAGACCATGAGGAAGAGGACTTCCTGCCCTGGTTCCCGAGCAGCTCTGCCCCTCGGTGCAGCAGGCACAGGCCCTGCCTGCTGCAAGAAATTAGGTCTGCGAATGAGAAAAGGTTTTCTTATGAAAGGGATTTAAGCAATATTTTGATGTCGTTTGGATGTATTATAAAGGGAAAAAAATTCTAATTATAACACTCATGTAAACAAGTAATTTAAAATTTTCAAGATTTTAGAAGCTACTAATTACAAAGAAATCACCCAAGGACTATCACTCCTACTGTAGCTGTAGGAAACCTAATAATCCAAGTCCGTATTACAAAATTAAGAAGGTGCCGATTCCATTCTTCAGCACCGTAGCCCAAGGCTTGCTTCTAAGTTCTTTTTGCTCAAGCTTCCTCGTTTATTGGGAAGCATAGGGCATAAGGCTGACTGAGAGTTAAAATGAGGTCCCTGGCACGAGAATGTCAGTTAATTTCTAAACTGCACAATAATATACACAAAAGGCTACTCAAATAGGAAGCTAGTAAACAGGGCACCAATAACTAAAAACAGTACTAGTATCTGCACAGCAGTGGGGCAATGTGTTTAAAGTGTATAGACTACTATTTTTAACCCTCACCTCCTCTGACAAATCTCAATCAACATTTTAGGGGGAAAAAATGAAATGTGGGGACCACACCAAAAATTTATGAAAATCAAGACACTCCCCCAGTATGGGCAAGCAGGCCCTCTCTGGACAGGGAGACCCCCAGTGACAGCAAGCAGGCCCGAGCAAGGCATTCCCCGCACCCCCAGCAAGGGTAGACCATCTGCCCATGCTAAGCTGGCTCTCATGTTGCTCCCCCTTGGCATGGGACAGCAGAGTTGAGGACAAATCAACTGAACTCATCCTGCGCAAGGGCGAAGGGAGCAAGCAGGACCGTGGCTGCTGCCGTTCAGTCCAACAGTGCAGTAGAACGCCCACCCCATCACTAGAGACCAGAAGGCTGACTCCATTTCCCACCTAGCTTATGGAAGCAAGGACATGGCGGGGCTTGGATGACAACTCGTCTGGGGGATGGTTAGAAGGGATGCTGTACAGGATGGCACTTCAACAACCCACAGGCCAGACTGCATGCCTGTAATCCCCGTGCTAAGGAAGCTGAAAACAGGAGGATTGCTACCAGTCGGAGCTGTGCAGTGAGACCCTGTACCAAATACATAAAAAACACAAAATACATGCCCCAAAGTTAGGCAGAAACAACTGTGTCTGGCTTGGATCTCAAGAATGCAGATCTTGGAGAGAAGCCACTCATTTGTAAATATCTTCACTGGGTTTTTGGAGGGCTTGAGGATTTTTCTTTCCCTCTTTTAGTTTCTTTTCTGTCCTTTTTCACATTTTATGTTTCATCTTTTCTTTTTCTTCTTCATTCTATCTTTTACCATTATTTATTTTTACTTCTCAATAGAAACCCATTGTTGGGGGCCTGGCCCTAGCTCAGGCCTTTAAGTGGCTGCTTCCACAAAGCTCTCAGCCTCAGGTTGCTGGAGTTCGAACCTCACATCTCTCCAGCTGGCCAAAAGTGCCTTGAAGGCATTTGAGGAACAAAAAAAAAACCTTATTCGGGGCTGGTGAGATGGCTCAGTGGTCTAAAGCACCTACTTACAACAAGCTTGGCAAAGCACAGGGACTGCGGTTCGATCCTCCAGCACCACATGCCAGCCAGCCGCGCCCCCTGGTGGGCTGAGCTGGCCACACACACACACACACACACACACACACATATAAATAAATAAAAATTTAAAAAAAAATCGTAAAAAAAAAAAAAAGAAACCCATTCTTATGGATCACTCAGAATAGGAACTAGATCAACCAGATTGGAATTCGGAAAGCCGTTTATTACTGAGCTCAGGGCCCCCAGTCTGCTCTCACGCAGGAGAGGACCAAAAGGTGGAGGCCCAGGAAGCAGGGAGGGGTTTTAAACCCTGGAATCACATTGAGTTAGATAAACAAATTTATTGTCTGACCACATTTAGTCTGGTAAACAAATTTATTGTCTGACACAAAATAATGTTTTTAGAGTGATTGTGACTACTACTCAAACTACATTTCTGGGGCTTTTGTTTTAGTTTCTGGTTAATTTGCACCTGAGTACCTGCAGGCAGCTTTGCATAGCCCGCAGGTTACAAGAAGTTAAAGCCCATTTAGTTTTCTTTAAGTCATCTCTGTAAGCTAACTTTGCTAACAGGAATTGGTAAGGGTTACAGGAATTTTATCTAGCAAACAGCAAGAAACAGACACTAGTTACTAAACAACTTAGAACAGTGGTAAGTATACATTTTTACACAACAGAAAACACAAGACTTACATTTATAATCTACAACGTGAGTTGATCCATTACACCCATCTCACTTTTTTCTCCTATTCCTATCCCTCATTAATTTCTCAAGTTTTGCTCTTTCATTCTCCAGTATCCAACCCCCTTTATCTTTACTAGTAAAACTAAGCTTTATGAATCTCTAGACAGCTAACTTTACATTATTGCTATTGAACACTGTTCTCCTGTTTGTAGAGATAGGGTTGTTCCGCAGTTGATATTTACTATAGGTCAACATTAGATCAATGTGTAGGTGTTTTTTTGATGTTCATACTACAATCATGTATCTCTTTTCCATGGTTAAGGGCATTATCAGTCCATATAGTTTGTCAATACTAAGTTTGTATTTGATGTTATAATTAGTGCTATCTTCATTACTATAGCCAAGATGACATACTCATTGCTATTATTTGGTTCTCTTGGGATAACAATATCTGGATTGCCTTGGGGTCATTAACAATACTGTGCCCCATTCTTAAAAACTGGATGTGGGCCAAATATGCTGTGACCTCCCACTCCAAGTAAACAGAGGTGACTGGATTCTGAAACAGAGGAAAAGGCCAATAGTCAGCCATGAAAAGGAGACACTAACTAAAGAGGTCTCCATACTAGAAACAAGGCTTTTCACTATAATCAACCCATCAGCCTCATAAAAACAAACAAAAATATAAACATGAGAAGATAAGCCAACAAAATACCTCCAAACACTGTTAACTTCCCAAAAGCTGATTCACAGGGCATCAAAAGGGAAGAAACTTGGCTGGGCAGATGGCTCAGGACCAGGAAGATGGCTCAGTGGAATAAGTGCTTCCCTGGGAAGCGCAGGGGCCTGAGTTCAATCCCCGGTTCCACCAAAAAAAAAAAAAGGGAAGAAACCAACATTCACACACTCATATTATTTGAAACAGTATCAAAGAAAATAATAAAATGGAACAATTTGCATTTGGCAAGTTCACAGAAGATAAAAGCAGTAAGATATTGGGTCAAATAAACAAAATGATCAGCAGTCTATAGAAGACATTAATAAAAAGCTAACAGAGCTAAACAAAATTATATAAAACATGAATAACCAGCATAGGAAAAAAATTAGTCTATAACAGGTTCCAAATAGAAATCCAGAAAATTAAAGCTCCTATTGACAGTACTGGTAGCACAAGACACTAATGCAAGGATACAACATCAGAACTAAAGACAGGACTGTTGTCAGTGACCAACTAATAAGAGAAATCTTAACAAGAGAAGAGGGTCAGAGATATAGCTAGCAGCATAAGCGCCTACCTGGCAAGTGCAAGGTCCTGACTTCAATCCCCATTACCGCAAAAAAAGGAAGAGGCACAGGGAATGGGAAGGGGGAGAGGGGAGAGGGGGAAAGGGGGAGAAGAACAGGGAGAGGGAGAGAGGGAGAGAGAGAAAGAGAGAGAGCAAGTATGGTGGCATACACCCATACACCTGTAATTCCAACACTTAGGAGGCCAAGGCAGGAGGATCACTGTGAGTTGAAGGTCAGCTTGGGCTACATGGTGAGTTAAAGATCAGCCTGAACTGTATTGGGAGAACCTGTCTCAAAGAAAGATGAGAGAGGGAAGATGAAAAGTGGATTCAACAGTTCCTAGATGACAAAAAGAAAACTAAGTTTAATTGGAATTAATGAAAAACCAGATGACAGTACATTAAAAAAAAAAAAACCTCTATTGAAATAATAGTGGAAAACTTTCCAAATATGGAAAAAGAATTTCACATACAGATAAGAGATGCATATAAAACCCCAAGCAGCACAACCAGAAAAGCACCTCTTCATGACATGTTATACTCAAAATCTTGGAACAAGAACAAAATCTTAAAAGTGGTTAAAGAAAAGCAGTGATTAGAATTATACGAGACTTCTCAACACAAATCCTAAAGACCCGGACAACCTGAACTGAAGTCTTTTAAGCCCTAAAAGAAAACAATTCCAACCCAGGCTGATATACCCTGAAAAACAATCTTTCAAAATTGATAGAGAAATAAAAAATATTTTCATGATAAAGAAAACCTAGAGAAATTCACAACCAACAAATTAGCACTCCAAAGAGTTATGAAAAATATCCTAGGAAAAGACAAGCTAACAATAATAAAAGATCTCAATGAATATACCCAGTAGGGTGAGCAATTAAGTAGAAGGCAAAGATAGAGAATCAGCCACAGGAAGATGAGGCCATGACAGGAATAAATCCATACGTATCAGTAATAACTTTTGATGTGAATGGTCTCAAGTCCCCCATCAAAAGACACAGACTAACAGAATGAGTCAGAAAACAAAATCCAATGGTATACTATACATGCAACACATTTAACCTAAAAACCAACTCATAGACTAAAACTCAAAGGATAGAAATCAATATTCCATGCAATAGGAACCTGAAAAAGAGCAGACAAAGTAGATTCCACACCAAAACTGATCAAAAGAGGCAAATGACATCACTACATATTGGTTAAGGGAACAATCCAACAGGAAAAGATAACAACATACATGCACCAAACAACAGCCCACTCAACTTCATAAAGTAAGTACTACTGTACGTGAAAGACCACATAAACATAATTTTACAGAAAACCTCAATACCCCACTATCACAAATAAGATCATTAAGACAAAAGCAAACAACAACAAATATCAGAACTGAATACAATCTTCAAACAAATGGACTTAACAGACATCTATTGGATAACAGGTATCCATCCAACAGCAACAGCATCACATGGGATTCTTTTCAACATCACATGGGACATTCTCCAAAATAAACTACACATTAGCCAATAAAGCAAGTTTAAGGAAATGTAAAGGAATTGAAATTACACCATGCATATTATCAGATCTTAGTACAATGAAGTTAGAAACAACAAAAGAAAATAAAAAATTATGCAAATACACAGAAATTAAATAATAAACTTTTTTAAATATTTATTTATTTATTTGATGCAGGGTCTCACTACACAGTTCCCATTCATAGTGATCCTCCTGTCTCAGCCTACCCAGTGCTGGGATTACAGGTGTGCCCAGGGGTCCAGGGCCTGCATGGCATGCAGTACCAGGGATCGAACTTGGGTCCTTGCACTTACCAGGCAGGCGGTTAGACCACCAAGTTATCTCCCCAGCCCTAAACAATATACTCTGAAACAAGTTACAGGAGAAATCAAAAAATCAGATGGTTTCTAGAACTAAAAAATAATGCCAGTACAACATACCAGAACTCTAGATACATTCTGGTACTGGGACCAACACTGGGACACCATGGTGGTAGTCCTAAAAGGGAATTCTATAGCCGCGAATGCCCACATCACCAAATCAGAGCAAGCCCAAATAAATAACTTAATGATGTACTTCAAGGTCTTAGAAAACCAAGAATAATCCAAACACAAAGCACTACAAGTAAGGAAATTATAAAGAGCAGAGCAAAAGTCAGTAAAAGTGAGGCAAAGAAAGAATGAATCAATGAGGTGATTCTTCAAAACTATAAAATATAAAGGGGGGGCCAATGGCCAACTTAACCATAAAAAGGAGCAAAAAGACACAAATCAATGCAATTTAAAAAAAAAAAAAAAAAACTGGTAGAATCTCACCACACAGCTCAGACTCGTAATGATCCTCCTTTCTCAGCCTCCCCAGTGCTGAGAGTACAGGTGTGTGCCACCACACCTGGTTTCAGGGCCAGCAGGGCACACCTTGGATTCCAGGTCATGCACACTATGTGGTACTGGGGAGTCGGGATCAAGCTTGGGACCTCGCGCTTGCCAGGCAGGCACTTAGACCACCAAGCTATCTTCTCAGCCTCCAATGCAATTTTAAATGAAAAAGATGAAAACACAACAGACACTGCCAAAATCAAAAAGATTATTAACAACTAAAGTAAGTTCCCAGTTTTCCAAACATTCGAGTTGCAAACGTTCAGACAGGAATGAACCTCACATTCCAAACATTTGTAGATGTGAACAACTGGCAGAAGTAGCTCACATATCTACCAACACTGTCACAGTTGTGCTGCTGTGTTTGCTGTACGGTGTAACAGTGTACAGTAGTACACGAACATGTACTGAGTACTGCAAACATGTAATAAATTTTTTAAAGTCAACTCAAAGTATGTTTCTCTTTCTCTGTAGGAGTTGTTGGAATAGTCTTTGAAAAAAGAATATTAACATTTTGCATATTCTCTTTCGGCCAACCCTGCCTTTAGTAAAGTCAAAAACCTCCAATGGACTCAGTAAGGACTCTCCAGCAAACAACTTTCTATGGATGTAACATTTTAAAACTGCACAGAGGACACATCAGAAGGATCTCTTAGAGGGAAAACACAATGCATAAAAAGCTATTGTCTTGGATCATTTTAGCCACAAATCTGCCTGTCATCTCGATAAGTTAGGGCAATATGGCAGTCTGACTTAAAAGGACAGCTGGGGTGTTTTTCTCTACAGATTATTTAGTCTTTAGAAAGCTTAAATCATACACTCTTTGAAATGGTCACAGGGTAATTTTCTATTCAGCTTTTTTAGAGAAATAAGATCATTTAACAGCAGCTGCACCATTTTTATATTCCCAACAGGGCACAAAATTCCAGTTTCTCCCCGTCCTGGTGGACAGTTATCTGTGGGGGGTGTGATAAATACCTGTGTAACTGGCAGAAATGATATAAAGGGAAAACTCCTCACTTCATCATCATTTAATACCAATGTACTTTATCCCACCGTGAGAAGGGGCGGTTCACTTACAGCCCGATGGTTTGAGGAACCGCCTGGACGCCCAGCAGGTGAGGGTGGGAAGCCTCGCAAGGGCTTTGGTCACCATGGCAACGGGCAAGCACAGGGTGGCCCCAGTGGGGACAGCCAACCTGGGAACCCGTGCGAATACTAACCTAGGACACTGATTCAACACTCCAGCTTCTCAAGAGAGGCGATGCCGACGGGCGTGACGCGACGTCGGGGCGTGGCATGGCGTCGGCCCGAGGGCACGGAGCGGGGCGAGGTGTGGAGGCGGGACTTCCGGAGGGCGGGCCAGGCTGGGCGGGGGCGGGGTGGAGGCGGGACTTCAGGAGGGGCGGGCCAGGCTGGGCGAGGGTCAGGTGGAGGCGGGACTTCCGGAGGGGCGGGCCAGGCTGGGCGAGGGCCGGGTGGAGGCGGGACTTCAGGAGGGGAGGGCTTCCGGGGCGGGGCTTCGGGAAGGCTGCGAAGTGTAAGGCTGAAGCATGCGCATTCCTGGCTACGGCCTGACAGGGGATCATGGCGGCCGTGGTAGGGTGCAGAGGAGTGCTGCGGCTGCGGCTACTCTCCTCGCTCCTGAAGCCCAGTGTCCACGTTCCCTGGGCCGGGCCAGCGGCTGCGTTTGGGTAATATAGCACGCTCCCCGTCGGCAGCCCCAGCGTCGTCTCGGTGGGCGTTGGACGGGCACGCTGGCCCTCGCGGGCGGGCGGGCGGGCGGCCGGCGAGAGAGCTGCACTGGACGCGGCCTGGCGGCTGGGGACGCCGGGACCCCAGCCAGCCTGAGTCCCGCGCAGACGAAGAGACCCGGGAGGTAAATCCGTGTTGGTCACAGAGGGCCCCAGACGAATTTTTAGCCGTTCTTGAAGAGGACAGTCCTCTCTCCTGCCTCTTGCGTGGAAGATCCGCGCGCCGCGCTTAGCTCGCGGCTCCCCAGCGTCCCGAGGCTAATGTTTGTTTGCTGCGCTCAGACTTTAATGTGCAGGAGAATCACGTTGGGAAACGGGAAATTTAAGATTCCAGACCGCACCACCAGTTTCTGGTTTAGGAGCGTGGAGATGCACAGAATCTGCATTTTTCTCTTCCTTTCCCTACCCCATTCAGATTTTTTTTAAAATAGAATTCTCTGACCGTCTTGAAAAGGGGTCCTAAAAGATTCTGGGCAGAAACTGTTAACAGAGCAGCCGGAAGCTTGCTTACAGAACACGCAGGCACAAACACAAACAGACACAAGGCAATTAACTGTAGATGGATGAGTTTGATTAGTGGAGGGGGCTTAGAGAGGTATCTAGTATACCCAGAACTTCACTTGATTTAATGTCAAAACTACTGATTTGGAGCTTAGTTTGGAAGAGGAAAGTGCAAATCAAATGAGATTTAAAATTTCATAATGCAGTCGACTAGTTACTCAGTTTCATATTTGGTTTAGGTTTTTGTTATTTTAGAGTTACTAGGTTTTTCAGTACAGCTGGAAAAACATGTCAGTCAGTGGCTACAGCTTTGTAAGTCAGTGGTGAAGCCTGGGCCTGTTGTTCACTTTCCTGTTTGCAGGACTGGATTACACCATACTGTGGTAGCTTCGTTGTTGCCGGAAGGCCATGTTCTCTTCATCATCCTAAAATATCTCTGGAAAACAGGTTCCTCTGGATTTTGTACTACCATTGTGTGAGTTAGGTTGTAAATTGACAATCTGAGAAAATAAGCAGTAGTGTTAGCCCATTCTAAAATAAGAGTGTAGCTCTATGGCAGTGGGTAAAAGGATTCCTGTAAGCTCTTTCAGCCAGGCTTAATAATTCACACCTGTTATCCCAGCTGGGGGCAGGTTGAGGTAGGGAGATGGCTACATCTTTCTTTCCTTCTTTCTTTTATTTATTTTAATGTATTTGGTACAGGGTCTCACTGTGCAGCTCAGACTCATAGTGATCCTCCTGTTTTCAGCCTTCCCAGCACTGGGATTACAGGTGTGTGCTACCACACCTGGTATCTGTGGCTGGCTCAGTGGGGCCGGCCCGGGGTCCCTGAGCTTGCCTGAGCAGGCACTTAGCTGAGCTATCTCACTGGCCCTGATGGTCACCTTTTTGAAGCCAACCTGGGCTACATAGTGAGTAGAGGTCAGCTGGAACTACATCCCAAGGCCCATTTCCCCCAAAAAGAGTTCCAAAACAGCAGCATCTGAGCTACAACTGATTTGTGAGCTAAAAACCTGCTTCTAAGCCTATTATTTAGAACTTCAACCCTTTTCCTGTTTCATAATCTCTAAAGGAATTTGTTCCTAGGTTAGGTCAAAAAAATCTTTGCTACCTGAAGTGGTATATTGTGTACAGTTGCAACATTAATAATTTATAGAGCCTCATAATCTGCCAATGAAAAATATTTTTCAAGTTCAGCCTTGGGTGCTCTTTGGAAGTATCATATCTCATCCTTCCCCAATGCCTGCCCCCACCCCTATCCTGCAGCCGTGCTGAATTCGGTCCCCAGTGCTAAGCTCTGGTAGGCATGCTCCATTGCAAAAATAGAAGGCTTATCCTGGGGTTCAAATAACTTGCTACCATGTTAGCTGTGTGAGTGGGCATAAGTTCTTACCTTCTTTGAGCCTCCTTATAGTTGTGAGGATTTGGAGCAGTGTAAAAGGCCTGTTCTGTATGTACTTAGTAGGTGTAATTATTAATGACCTGAACAATAAGCACAATATGTAGAAATGGTAAAAATAAGTTGTCACACTTCACTTGAATTGAAGCCCTCGAGTTCCTAATACTTTATTGTAGCTAATACTTTATAAGAAATAGCGTAGTGTAAATGACAAGGATTTTGAAAGGGGTCTTACAGAGTTACCCCCATTTTTATCTGGAATCAGAGTGCTGAGGCTGGAGTCAGCTTCTCAGGTGATTGTCTTCGCTTGGTAGAGCACTAGCTGTGTGACTAGGACAAATTACCTTGTCCCCAGATTGCTCAGTGGTAAAATTAGGTTGAGTATAATGGGCACCACAGCGTGAAAAGAGTAACATAAGTAAAACTCTTAGCAGCCAGAGCAAAGTAACAGAGGCTGCCCTTGGTTTGATTATTGGCTCCAAGCTGTTGCATCTTTGTCTCCACACCCAGCAGCCTGTACCTCTTTAAGGGAAGCACCTCAGCCCCCTGAGTACTGTCCCCTCAGTATGAGCATTCCCTAAGGCCTTCCTTTGTTCCTCATTGCCAGTCTGGCCTCCCACAGAGGGAGTCCACAAGGACAGGACAGGAAAGCAAGCTTTGAGGGGAGACAGGATTTTGTTTTCAGTCTAGTCAATCAGTAGTCATTCTCAACCTTGGCTGCCTATTGGGTTTTCTAGGGAAATTGAAGAATGTGCCAGATTTCTGCCCCAGAGGTTTTGACTGAGAGTAGCCTGAACAGATGCTGATGTGATTCAAGCACCAAGCACACCTCAGGGTCCCTTGAGGCCTGGTCGTGGCCTATTGCTCTAAGAGGCCTCTTCATAAATTGTCACAGAAGTGCTCTCTGTACTCCTTTCATCTAATATTTCTGTGAAAATAAATGAGCACTCAAAAATTTTTCTATCTTTCTAAATCTTTTTTTGTAAATAGTCTTTTGTCTTTCTCTCCCACTTGGAGATTCCCAGAAGGTTTTTGGCCACCTCGTTCCCCAGTGGATGTGCCAGTACCTCTGGTGCCACTGCGCAGGAAGGAGGTTGATGACCAAGCCCTTTCCTTCCCCTAAGCTTCACTGCAGAACCCTGCACTATTTGACCCAACCATTGTTCCTGTCTTCACACTGCTTGTCCCCATGGTGTCCCTTGCTGCCGGGCCTTTGATAGTGTAATTCTATCTTCCAGAAATGCCTTCCCCACCACATCCTTTTTTTAGAATTATAGCCAACTTTGGAAGTTCAAAGATAGGTCAGGACTCCCATTCTACAGCTCCTCACGGAGCAGTGGGACTTACAGACATATTTACAACATGTCTCTGGGGCATGTTGTAAAAGTGATAAAGGCCAACGAGGCACTGTACTGTATCCTAATGTGAGCTCTGTGAATGTGGTCATCTCTGCCCAGAGAGTGACCTCACAGTGCAGGAAATGCCTGGAAGAACTCTTACTCCACCCTGCTGCCTCAGGTCTTTTCCTCAGTACTTAGCCTTCCTGAGTTTTCAGATCAATCCTATGTGGCTTTAGAGCCTCTCCTACAGACCGTGAACAAAGCAGATACACCTGCTGGCTGTGGTCTGCAGCCCTTAATACCACTCCTCAGGAGGCTGAGACAGGACGATTACCATAAAGTTGAGGCCAGCCTGGGCTACAAAGCAAGACCCTTAAGTCAAAAAAGGAAGGAAAAAAAAAAAAAAGCAGATATACCAATGAGCACTTGTTTAATGAATCTTTTAGAGTAAATTTGTTTGCTTCTGTCTTGATCCTAAGATATCTGCCACCTTCCTAATGAAAATGAATTCTGCAAGGAATAGGATGTTAGTAATACATTGACAGAGCTGATGGTCTCTTATTGCTTTTCTAGCAGTATTTCTGTGAACAATGAGCTTATGCTGTGTCAGGCCTTTCCAATTTTGTCTTACAAATTTCCAGAAATTAAACTTCCAGATTTTATGTGTTAAGATTCAGTGAATCAGTGTTTTTTGTTTTGCATTCTTAAAGTTGGCCAATCAGGGGCCGGGAGATGGCTCGGTAGAATAAGTGCTTCCCTGGCAAGCACAAGGGTCTGAGTTTAATCCCCAGATCCACAAAAAAAAAAAAAAAAATTTAGCCAATCAAGGGCCAGCCAAAAAGCTCAGTGGATTAAAGCACCTGTAAGTAGGTGCAAGGGCAAGGGGTTCAATCCCTGGGCCTGCCATGCACCCCCCACCATGCGTGCGTGCTGAGACTGGGTATGGTGGCACACACCTGTAGTCCTAACTCTTGGGAGGCTATAAAAGGGCAGATCACTATGAGTCTGATCTAGTAGTGAGACCCTGAACACCCTGTAGATAAAAAAAAGTTGACCAATCAAATAAAAGCAAAAGAGGAAACAAGACATTGTTTTTTCAGATGTGCTGCCCTTCTGTAATCATTTTGACAGAAGCCCAAGGTAAGAATGGAAGAATGAAAAACCAAAAGGAAGTTAGTGGTAGATATGAACTTCCTGACAACCCACACTAGAAGAGGAATGGTTCCCTGTAGCATCTGACCTGGCCTACTGCCTTGTCCTTTGGGCATGTTCCGTGGCCACCTGCTTACCTGCCTGGTGGTGGGTGAGAAAGTGCTGTATTGGTGTGAATCCCTGGATAGTCTATTCTGGAGCTTCTGGAAGGAGAGCTGAGAAGAGGTTAAGAGGAACCCTGTGGGGCGGGCAGACACTGGCAGTAGCTCTGTCCTGTGCCACACAGACCAGCTATGTGTTGGGTCATGGGAGGGCCCTTGAGAGGGAGTTTATGGGCCTGGCTGCTTCACAGTCACCACACGATTATCTAGGGTCCCTGAACCAGCAAGGCCATGGCAGGGCTGGTAGATGGCCCCTGACCACAGCCCTCTGAAACCAGTGTGAGAAACTCTGCACCCAAGATGGCCTGAGACCACAGCTGCCTTGGGGATCCCTGGGCCCCATCTCCTCAGTAGTGGCTCCAAGGTGGCCCAGGTGGCTGCTCTAGACCTGCTGAGGAGCATACAGACCCAGGCTCGGTACTCCAGCCCCCAGTATTGTGCCTTGGGTGTGTTTCTAGCCTCTGACCAGAAAACCTTGGTGCTTTGGTAAGGTGAACCCCAGGCTGGGTGCTGCAGCACATTCAAATCTAAAGCCAGTTCAGACTTGCAGTCTGCTAAGAAAGATGCAGACTTGTGTCATTGTGTAGGGTCAGAAACAGGCACACATCAAAATAACGCAGCCTGAGAGGGGTGCTGGAGCTGACTCATGCACTTAATGGCAGGTTTGTTTGTTTGTTTGTTTGTTTGTTTGTTTGTTTCAGATTGGTACACTTGATGTGTTAAATAATTTTGCTTTAGGAGTTTTCTCTTTTCCTTTCCAGCACCACAGTGAGCTCTGGCAAAGTGGCTGTGAATGGGGTTCACCTGCATTACCAGCAAACCGGAGAGGGCGAGCACCCGGTCCTGCTGCTGCCAGGGATGCTGGGTCTGGACATGTTTAATGGATGCTCTTTTGCATGCTTTCTGACCTCTATAATACAGGCACAGTGGTAGATGCCAACTATAGGTTATTAGTCTGGTGGAATGTTTCCAGGAATACTTGCTGCAGTCCACTTGAGTGATTTAGAAAAGTAACATTTTTGTTGTATATCATTTTCCATAAAGTATCCAGTTTTTCTCGTGGGAGTACGCTGTAACACCATGGTTGCCCACAGTTTGGAAAGGTCACAGGGATCCAGGGAAAGGCACAAGTATTTGAAGGAAGAAAGTGAGCGGATGAGAAACTCTTACAGTTTGCCTGGCATGAAGGGATTTTCTAGGATACGAGACTTTCCCTGCTAAAACCAGGATGGGTCGTTCGCTGTTGTGGTTGGTACTTTTTACAGTGAGAGGCAAGGAGGGCCGACGTGATAGCTCAGCAGACTAAGCACCTGCTTAGGCAAGTGCAGGGACCAGAGTTCAATCCCTGGCACCACATGCCGCACCAGCCTTGCCCCCAGGCATGCTGAGCCAGTCCCCAAGATCCTGTGTGGTGGTGCACACCCGTAATCCCAGTGTTGGGGAGGCTGAGACAGGAGGATCACTACAAGTCTGAGCTGCATACTGAGACCCTGTACCAAATACATTTAAAAAAAAAAAAGAGGCAAGGTGACAAACTAAAGTACTTGAGGGACAGAATGAGGCTAGCAAGTTGTCTTTGTTGGTGTGTGGGGTGTAGTAAAGCTCGCCAACTCGCAGCCTCATTTTACAGACCAGTAGTCCAGATGTAGGAAGCTCAGGGTAGGACCTACAGCACTCCAGGGCATCCAAAATTTAGTTTCAAGGGCATGGGGTTGTTGCTTTGTTTTTTATTTAGCTAAGTAATCCCAGTAGATGCTCCTTTCCTTGTGATTTGCTGCTTTCTCCTAGTAGTAAAGTGCTAAGAGTTTTCAGTTAACTGATGGCTTATCTTGGCCCAGCCTCAGCTAATGTGGTGCCATTGTGCAGACAGCGCTTAGTACCTTGTTTTTCCTTAAATTATTGTAGCGAAGGAGAACGTTTACTCTGATAGCTGATGTCAAGCTAAGGTTATCTTGGCTTACCAGGCTGGATTTCCATTCCTGCAGTATTGTAGTCATTGACCAAGTTTAAAAACTGTTACCTGTGTAATTTTTGTTTACATAAAATAAAAATGTGTGGTTTCAAAAAATACAACAAGGTAACAGTGGCTCAGTGGTCTAAAGCACCTACTTAGAACAAGCTTAACAAAGCACAGGGACCACGGTTCAATCCCCCAGCACCACATACCAGCCAGCCCCGCCCCCTGGTGGGCTGAGCTGGCCACACACACACACACAAATAAATAAATAAAATTTTAAAAAAACAACAACAAAACAGTGACAGCCTCTCTTCCTGTCTTGTCATCTGATACCTAGTCCCACCTCCCTGGGCTACTCCTGGTGTCATGTACCGGTACCTACGAACTCCGTAAGCCCTGGGTAAGGTGTTCGTATTCTCGGTGCTGGTCTTCATGTGGGCCAGACAGCACACGCCTCATCATTTCTGCAGTTGGTCTCTTGGCCTGTTTTCCTCCCCTTCTCCCTGCCTCCTGCCCTCCTTCAGGGTCATCCCCCACGAGTCCCTCCAGTGCAGGGACACAGAGAAGGTCCATGTGCCAGCAGTAGACACGAGCTGGAAGTCCACTGATTTGTGTTGGATTTTCTGCATGATTTACCTGATCTTAGGAATATGTTGGCAGGGAGAATGATGGACCTTGGTAGTGTTAAGTGATCCTCCACCATCTGCAAAGATACTTTTTATTACAGCTACTTGTGATGGAAAAAAACATAAATATTTAAACTTTAAAAATATGTTATGAAAGGTACATTGCCATCAATCCTCAGAATACTCCCCTTTGCTTTGAGCACTTATCCCATCATTCTTGCCACTTTTTGAAGCAATTCTTGGAGTCCTCTTGAATGTCTTTAGTTATATGTGATAGCTGCCTTAGTATGCTGAATTGATTTAAAACATTTAGCTTTTATGTCCATTTGGTGTTTGAGAAAGATCTAGAAATTGAACAATTCCAGATCCTGTGAATAAGGAAGACAAAGGCGCAGTTATGTTTTCGCAAGGCTGCCTATATGTTGGCTGGCACTTGGCAGCAGGTTTCTTGACATTTTTGGCCACACCCCATAAAGACACTCACGAAAGAGCACTGTCGGCATTGCTTCAGAAAGTGGCAGGAGCAGTGGGGTAAACTCCTTACAAGCAGCAAGGGAAATGTTTTGAGGGGATTTGTGGCCATGTGACTTTGATTATAGTTTTTAAAATTTTAAAGATTCATTGTATAGTTCGATCGTACTTTATAGTTCAGTTCATCGGGTAGGGTATTCAGTATTCATTTGCAGCCTCAGAAGTAGAGGAAAATGCTGCCTGGCCCTGGACTTAGCTCTGGGGAGTGGCCTCTTCCCCCCCCCCCCGAAAGTGGGCATGATCCCGCCACACCTGCAGTGACCCTGGGGCCGGGGGCAAGCTGCTGGTTGGCTGGAGGCCTATCGCAGTTCTGCTTATCTGTGTAGGCTCTTTTGTATTTTAATGAAACTGATACATTTCATGCACCCATTATCAGTGGTTTTATAACTACAAAATAAAATCTTAGCTCATTTTTAAAAATCTAGAATTTTAGAATTCTACTTTGAATAAATTTGGACCAAATTTAAGAAATTTGTTAATAGATATTGTTAGGTTCTCTCTCATTTGAAAGCTATTTATTTTAAAAACCCAGAAGCATGGTATATAGGTAAGTTTATTTATACATTTCATTAATTCTTTAAAAGTAAGGGGAAAGGGATTTAAATTGAGTCCTCCAAAGGCCACAGAGAGTAACCACAAGCCAAAGGGGCCCGAGTCCCCATCCTTTTCAAAATAGCCACTAGGGGGCGATCCAAGACAGCCTGAAAAGGTCTTCAACCCAGACTGCTTTGCTGACTACCTTAAGATTATTGCTGCTTCAGTTTTTACTCTGCTGTACTTGATACAGTGAAAGCCTTCACCAGAGATAACTAAGCATCTGTTTTCAGGAAGTGGAGAGACAGATTTTGCACCCCAGCTTAAGAGCCTGAGTAAGAAGCTTTTCACGGTGGTTGCCTGGGACCCTCGAGGATACGGCCATTCCAGGCCGCCAGATCGGGACTTTCCACTGGACTTTTTTGAAAGAGATGCAAAAGATGCAGTGGACTTGATGAAGGTGGGTCTGTCCTGGAAGTGCGCAGGGGAAGAATAGCTGGGCAGCTCTTCATTTATTTTGCTCATTTTTTATTTCTCTCTAAAAGGCTAAAACCATGTGACTCCTATCACACAGGAGTGCAGTGAACATTCTGTTGTTTGTGGACACTTCCGGTCTGACTCTTGCTGTTACAAGCAGTGTCGTGGGCATACTGAGCCTGACTCCTGGTACATGTATGTGAGAGTTTCATGCAGACTTAGGAGACAATGTGTTAGATTATAGAAGATGAGATATTCACTTAAAGATAGTGCTAAACTATTATCTATAGTAGCTACACCAGTGTGTAATCCCCACAGCAAATAGGTTGCACTAATACCTATTAATTCTGTAACTTGTGCTGTATTTCTGATATAAGCAGCATCTGTCATACACCATCTTGGTCCATTTTCTTTGCCAGACACATTTTCAGGTCCCGTAGATTCACCCAGAGACTTACCCAGCTTCTCTAGGTCACCTTTCTCTTCCAACCCCTCTCTTCCCACAGCCTCGCTCAATGGCTTTACCAGATGCCTGCCTTCATTTTACCAGAGAATGTGGGGTCCCTTGCTAAGCCACCCATCCTGTCTGCAAAGCCCTGTCAGTCACGTGCATGCACACAGGTGTATACGCACTGCGTGTGTCACGTTCAGGTTCAGATAATCGCCACTGAGCTATTCTTGATGTGATTCCCTCACCGTTGAGCCAGTCCTGTTTGCTCAAGTTCCTACACAGGAACGTGTACCAAAGCTGAGTGAAAGCTGTCAGGTCGTGCACTACCGAGGGCTTTTGTTACTGGTGATGATAGATGGCTCAGCCCCGCATTGATTCTGATCCTTATTGACTCAGGCTAGCAGACAGGAGCAGCATAACTGCTGTGTTCTGCTGTGTGTCACAGGCGCTGAGGTTTAAGAAGGTCTCCCTGCTGGGGTGGAGCGACGGCGGCATCACCGCACTCATCGCCGCTGCCAGGTACCCATCCTACATCCATAAGCTGGTCATCTGGGGAGCAAACGCCTACGTCACGGAGGAGGATGAAAGGCTCTATCAGGGTAGGCTGTGCCGCCGGAGCTGGTGGTCTCGCCCGCTCACACCTCTTACTTTGATGTGTATGACAGGGCGTGGCTCACCCACTCCCAGTTCTGACAGTGAATCGGAAGAATGATGAGTGCTCAGGAGGGCAGCTCAGCTTAACCAGCCTTCCCGTTTCTAGAAGAGAAACACGTGTGAGTCAGGGAAGGCTGTGCCTCCTTCCTGCCGACGTTCTGGGTCTGAAGGCAGCGGGTGGGAAGTGTTACTCCTGACTTCATTCAGGGGAGGTGTAAAAGTGACTCATCTGAAACCTTACGTGCTGGCTGCAAGAGGTTTTTAGTGCTATTTGCATTTTAGATGGCCCTTCAGGCGTCTTTGGCAGGGGTCACTGGCATCAGAGCAGTGGCCAGCAGCCCGCAGCCTGTGGCTTGTCTGCTTTTGTAAGGTCCAGGTGGAAATCCGAGAATCTTATTCTGTGGGCCACAGAGACCGAGCTGGAGTGACCACCCTACTGTTGGCAGTATACTCCCACCCTCAGGGTTGCTGCCCAGGGCCTGCATGATGGCCACACGCTCGGGAGCCGTCGGGAGTTACTAGGCACCCAGCCATGGAAATGCCCCACCTCCAGCAAGCTGCCCATAGTGGGGTGCGCACGCTCTCGGGAGGAAACGGGCTACACCAGGGATTAGCCCCAGGGACCACTCACCTGTGCATCTCGCCACCTCCACTGCCAGCCACTCCCCTTCAGGCTGGCTGTGTTCAGTCCAGAGTGCAGTTCCAGCAAGCCCCAGAGAGCCCACCGCAGTGGACAGCTCCCAATGGGGCAGGTGCTTTCTCCCCTTATAGGTGAGTATCTGCACAGGCCTGAAAAGTCCCTTTCCCTGTACAAAATAGTGTGTAAACCCCAATGAGGCCCTCACAAGCCTTCTCTTTTTCACTTTTGTGCAGTTCAAGGCCTTAGCTGCTCAGACAAACGTCCTATAAAGATACGGGGAACTCTTAAGGGATAAGTCTGACTTAGTGGCCCGTCCTGCCTGTCCTCCTCCTGTCCTGGGCTCACTCTAGCTCAGTGCCAGCCTCCTGCACAGGAAGCCTCCTCTCCCGTGTCATCCACTTCCCCCCCCCCCAACCCTGCCGGCCTGCAAAAGTGGGTTTGGTTCCTGCTCTGTAGCCCTCTTTCTACAGCTGCGGCCTTATGGCGCTTCACCCTTCCCTTGCTGCTTTTGTTGCTTCTGTTCTGATCCTGTTTTTTCCTTGTACTTCTTTGGGTTTCAGTGTGATTCTTCTTTTCCTAGTCTCAAAACAGAAGCTTAGGTTACTGACTTGAGACCTTATTTTCTTCTACTATAATAAGCATTTAGTGCTATAAATTTGATTATAAGCACTACTGCATCTATTCTCCCTATAAGTGTTGCTGTTATATTTTAATTTAGATGACAACATTTTCTAGTATCCCTTCATACTTCCTCTTCCACCGATAGTTTTTTAGAAGTGTATTATCTAATTTCTAAATACTTGGAGTCTGCCAGATATCTTTATGCTATTGGTATCTAGTTTAATTCCGTTAGATTCAGAAAGCATATGCTGCACATTTGGTTCTTGGAAGCTTATTCATGATTTTGTGCTCCAGAGCATGGCCTGCCTTAATCGAAAACTAAATTCTTTGCTCCCTGACCTCACCTGTGCCTCCTCCTGCGCACCTGTTCTTCCAGCTAATGGCCCACAGTCTACCCGGGCCTGAGAGCCAGAGCCCGAGTCATGTCTTGGGGACTCATCTTCCCTTCCCCGCCCCTGAACCCTGGCTGCATTCCACTGATACTGTGCCCATGATCCCTCGCTCCACTACCACTCTGCTTCTGTCCCCTCACTCGTGGGCCAAGTCCTTTCCTCTCCCGTCGTTTGTCCTCTTGGAGGTAATCCGTTATAAGGCAGTAAATTAAGCTTTGCCACAATAGGCATGTGTGGGAAGAAGCAGACTGTTAACAGGGTTAGTACTGCCTATGGCTTCAGGCATCCAGGGGCCTCCCACATGCACTGTCCTGGGTAAGGGGCCACTGTGCCACACTTGCTGTGGAAGTTCCTCCCTGACCCCGAGGACCTTGAAGGCAAAGACCTTGTCTCCTTCGATGTCAGTGCTAACGAGTGCGCAGCAGGCTTTAGACGCGGCCTGCTGGGTGCTTTCACTGACTAATGATGAGCGAGTGGTTTTCTTTATTACAGTTCCAGTACTCAAGAGAAGAAACATATCTGATTCTTTTGCGATCCAAATTAGTTCTGTTTTGGATCAGCAAACAGTTTGATTCAAATGATTATTTTGAGAACTTCACCATGAAACATAATTACTGCTTAGTTTGGGGAGCAATTATGCTTTGGTGTACAAAACTGCCTTCTTGAAATAAATTACCAAAGTAAATATATAAATACAAAGAATATTTTTGAGTGTATATTACACTCCAGGCACTGTTGGTACCACATTTTATGTACTGTTTACTTTTTGCCCGGGATTTTATTAGAACCCTTGTTTTCCTGACGCAGGCGCCGTAGCATGTTCACTCTGCAGAGAGGCTGCAGTGCTGGCTTGGTGTCACAGAGCACGTATGCGCAGACGTTGGGCTCACACCCGCCAGGACCCCGGCTGCGGTACCCAGAGCGCGCGCCTGGCTCAGCCCAGCTGCTCAGGATTCCCTGCCCCTACAGACCCAGACGCCACTTCCTGGGGAGTCTGGAGGCTGCCCTGGGCAGGACCTTTATTCGTGACACTGTGTAGTTGCCACCACTTGCATTCATTGCTGTGGTGTACTCTAGGGACACTCTTGCACCCAGTCCCTTCCAGTGAGCAGCTATTTTATCTCCAGCTGTGACGTTCCCTCTACCATATCCAGGGCACAGGAGCAGCACTGTCTTCAGGGAGAGCCTGCAAGTGAAATTGCTGAGTGTCACATGCTCAGACACAGGTGGCAAACTGTCACTCATAATCTGGAAACAAACACAAAAGTGAGCCTGAGCGGAGAAGGGCCACCTCTGCTCCTCCCTGCTGGCGGCACCCTCCACCCAGAGCGGCCCTTGGAGTCCTCTGCCAGACTTGTCGGACGTGCTCAGTGCCTGCCTCCTTTGCATTCATCGCTACACTTCTATCCAGGCATTGGGACTAGTTTGTCCAGTGCAAGAGAACCTTCCTCAGAGTGTGACTGCCGGAAGCAGTGTTATGATTTGAGAGGGAGGTACTGGAAGTCAGCCAGGGTCTTGGACACACCACTAAGTAACCACCACTAAGTAACCCCATCAGCCGCTCTGTTGGAGAGTTTTACTGGCTTTCTTCTTGCCTTCTTGCCAGCTGCTCTCCGCTCCCACTCTTCCACTCTCTTCTTCTCAAGCCTCCCAGCATCTTGATTTCCAGCTGCTTCTCCACACCCATCTCTGAAGCCTTCAGGCTGCCATGCTGGGCACCTCTGCCCTTCCTGGCCTTGCAGTCAGCTCCCCCCATGCACCTCTGAATGCTGAAACCAGGCCACAAGCCAGGGCAGGCTCCCTTCCGTTACGGGGCCCACCCTGTTCAGACGGGGCTGTGCCCACAGCAGTTTCCCTCCATTCAGTTCAGTCATTTGGCATCCTGCCAGGTGCCCACACCGTCCAGACTGCGTGGATTGTCCTTTGATGTGAGTTCGTATTGTCAGTATCTTCTTACCACTGAGGTTTGTCTTTTAACAGAAACACTGAAAGCTCTCAGCAGTGTTTAATAAGCTCAAGGGCACTAGGATCTTCTGTATTTCTGTTAAAAAATTCTATATTTCTGTAAACAAGTTTGAGCCAACTAACAGCCTTTGTGGATTCATTTTAAAGGCAGTTTTTAACTAGTATTTCTTTAGTAGCAGAACTTGTAATTTTATGTGTAATTTGCATGTTTCTCAGTGTACCAGGAAAAAAAAACTCCTTTATGAATATGCTTGCTTTCTGTATCCATCAATTCTGCATCCATGGAGTCAAGCAGCCATAATTGACATATTAAAAAAAAAAAATAGGTCTGTAGGAGCCAGCGAGGTAGCTCAGCAGACTAAAGTGCCTGCTTAGGCAAGCACAGGGACTGCAGTTCGATCTCTGGTACCACATACCGCGCCACCCCTACCCCCACAGCAGGCTGAGCCAGCCAGAGTCTCAGCATAGTGACACACACCTGTAATCCCAGCGCCGAGAAGGCTGAAAACAGGAGGATCACTGAGTCCAAGCTGTGTAGTGAGATTCTGTAACAGCCAAATACATTAAAAAAAAAAAAAAAACTTGTCTATGCTGAATGTGTACCTACTTTTTCCTGCCATTGTTCCCCAAGCAATACAGTGTCACAACCACGACCATAGCATTTCAATTGTATTAGGCATGGTGAGTCATCTAGCGATGATTCAGATCCGTGGAGGATGTGTGCACGTCCTATGCAAGGAGTGTGGCATTTTGTAGAAGAGATTTGAATGTCACACATTTTGGAATCCAAAGAGGTCTCCTGAAGCCAATCCCTGTCAATACCACTGGATGACATAACGCTACTCTCACTCGGTGACCTTACTTAGGAGAATATTTTCTTTTCTTATACCTTTGGCATGAAGCACTCAGCGAAAGCCTGATTTCATCCACTGGATAGGTACTTACTGTGGGCCCAATGTGTGGGCCGCAGAGGCTTAGGCCCCAGGTGGGTAGCATGGGGAGGGGGTGGGGGGGTGGGGTGCAACTTGCCCTAAAGAGAAAGCAGACGTGGTCATAGATGCGGGAAACCCGACAAGGCCGAGGGAGTGCCAGGCAGAGGAGATGGAGAGAAGAGACCAGGAATGGGGTGGGGGAGGCTCAGTGACATCCAGGTGTCCATGGAAACATTGGGAAGCCTTTGCAGCGGGTGGGACTGCCGGTGTTAGGCTTGGGCTGGATGGGCTTGAGATGAGAAGATGCTACCTTGGTAGGAGACAAAGCCAACCTAAGTCCAAACTTTTGTTTTTCAGGCATCCGAGATGTTTCTAAATGGAGTGAGAAAGCAAGGAAGCCTCTAGAAGCCCTATATGGATATGACTACTTTGCTAAAACCTGTGAAAAGTGGGTGGATGGCATACAGCAGTTTAAACATCTCCCAGACGGTAGGTTGCATGGACGATTTGAGGATTCTTTTCTGAGTAGAGAGCATGCTGGAGGTTTCCCTGACGCTCCAGCATTCCTCGGTAGCTCATGCATCTGCCTGTTGTCCCTGCACGGAGTCATGTGGACAGAGAACTGGGTTGTCATGCACAGCATGCGTGCTTGTATAGTACTGTGCCTTGAACTTGAGATGGGGCGTGTGTATAAAGCTTCATATTGTTGTGCCTTCACAAGCAGACTATTCTTTTTTCCTTCACTCCTTTCTTCAGAAGCCTCAGTTTATTTCTAATTCCAGAATAGTTAATTAGCAAACCAGCGGCAATGTAGACAATATTTTTTCCCTTTTGCCTGCTTAGATGTCATCCTAGCACACATCTGTTACTGGGACACAAAGATGAAGTTCCATGATCTTCAACTCCAGAATAAATTGTATCAGAAACAGAATTTTAGTTCCTTTTCCAGTATCTGTCTTTTTATTTGAAACTTAGCAAGATTTTCATGAACAGAAGAATTGGTGTCTTTAAGAGGAGTTCTGAGTTGAAGTGTACTTTTACATAGCTATGGGATAGTCAGCTTTCTATTGCTATGACAGGTACTTGGGATAATCAGGGCACCACCTGAGAGAACCAGTACAAGGGCTGTAGCTGGCTCACAGCTGGGGAGGCTTCAGTCCGTAGTCGGCTGACTTACAGCGTTGGGGCCTGTGGCAAGGCAGAACGCCATGTGGGGGCAGGGGGCGTAGCCAAGTCTGGAAGCGGAGAGAGGAGGATGGCTTGGCATCCTGCTGCCTTCCTGAGGACCCCCCCCAGGTCCTCTCTCTCAAATGTTCCATGCCCTCCCAGTAGTCCCACTCCAGAGAGCAACTGCGCGTGGATCTCTGGAAGACACCCAAGACGCAAATCATCACAAGCTTAGGATCTCTGTTTTCCTTTTCTTATTATTTTATTCTGTCTTTCCTTGCTGAAAGAATAGAGTAGCTGACATCTAATCTTGGAGCACATTCAATTTCAAAATGTGTGTGATCAAAGGACCAATTTGATCTATTAAGCCATCATTGCCAATATGAGTCATATGTTGTCAAAACTTACAATGCAAAGGGCCTTTGGGAATATTACATTTCTGGCTTAAATTGAAAACAGCAAATGTATTCCATACAGTGATCCTTTTTAAAATACAGTATCTCCCCCATAGAAACAGGTCCTTGAAATGTGTTCCTCTCTATTCTTAAAAAATAGCATAAAACAATGTCTGAAATGGTTTTCCATTGATAGCTTTATATTGTGAATTGGAAACTTTTATGCTTTATTGAAGAGGGCAGGGAGAAGGTAAAATCCAGATACCAACAGAGTTAAACCAGCCATTGGGAAATGTGTCAGGATATAGAAGGCCCAGCAGTGTAGAGGTCACGTCACAGGGAGCCATTGATAATCTATCTCCCTTCTGTGCTATTTCACAGGAACCTTTTTTCCCACAATTGCACATTCGAGCTCAGAGATACATGGTCTAGCATAGGGATTAGTGATGCAGCTTTGGGGCCAGGTAGGTCTGGGTTTGAATTCTGGCTTCAGTGCTTGGCTTGCTGTTAGGATGTACATAGCCAAGTGACTGCATTCCTGTAAGCTTCAGTTTCCTGCCTGTGACCTCATAATTTTGTGAAGACTGAGATAATACAGGTTCGGCCACAGGTGGGATAAAACCTGTATCTGCATTGTTTAACAAGTGCACAGTTGATTTAAACATTTCTTGGCATGATATGCATTTGGTAGTACTAGTAATGACCCAGTTGGTGGGGGTGTGCCATCCCAGGAACAGAGAGGAGGAGGCCTCTGTGCCTGAGGAAGTCAGTCCCCTGTTGTCACTCCTTGTTGAACAGCCACCACCAGCTGAGGAGGCAGCAAGAGCCCGTGCCCAGGGAGCAGCGCTGCCTGGGCGGGCTCCATGCTTGCCCTGTCCTGGCACTGCCAGGGAAGGAAGGGAGGAGGAAGAAGGCACTAGCATCATGGATGTCCGGAACCTTCTCATGGCTCTTGTTTAGCCTCACAAAAACCCCATGGCCTGATGAGTATTCCTGGTCAAGGTTGAGGCCCAGAGTCTTTAAGGAGCCCCCAGGATCTCAGAGGCAGGACAGGAACTAGAGCCCAGGTTGTCTGTCAGTACCTCAGAAGTGTTCTTCAATGTGGGGACTAGATTTTCACAGTCTCTCAGAGGGATGGTGGTCAGGAAGGTCGCTAGGACACTAACAGTGACACACACCGTAATTTCATTGTGACACCACCTGACCTGAGATGTGACTGTGAACAGAAAGCTTTCTAGGTATCAGGCATCTCCCCACTGTCCCCCAGGCCCCTCATGGAATATGAAAAGTTGTGGGGTTCTCCTTTGTTTGATTTTCCTGAGATTTTACATGAATTATGAGTTTAAATCTGGCAAAGATCTATGTTTATTAGTAGAACTTTATTTATTTATTTATTTATTTATGAACTGGGGATTGAACTCAGGCTCTTGTGCTTACCAGGGAAGCACTTATTCTACTGAGCCATCTCCCTGGCCTCATTAGTAGAACTTTTTTTTTTTTTTGGTGGAACCAGGGATTGAACACAGGCCCTTGCCCTTGCCAGGGAAGCACTTATTCCACTGAGCCATCTCCCCAGCCCCTTAGTAGAACTTTAAAAGAAAGATTAAGAAAAGGAAACCCCAAGGATGTCAGAGCTAGAAGGAATGCCCCAGATCTAAACCCCTGTTTTCACAGACCGAGAACTTGAGATCCCAGGGCAGCACTTGCTTTCCAGGACTGTCCCTGTACGTAAGGAAAGCTGTGTTTGGGCTCACGGTTCTGAACATTCTGTTCCATGACAGTGGTCCCACAGCGGTGGCTCTCTGATGAGGCCACTCATGCTGGCAGCACACAGCAGAACCAGGAGGCAAAGGGCAAGGGACAAGCTGGGCTCCCATGCCCCCACTAACTGAAGGATGTCCCCCAAGGCGTCACCCCAGATGCTGCCACTTCCCAGTGGCCCTCTGCAGGGCTCAAACCTTCACCTAGAGGCCTCCAGAGAGCACAGAGAGGCCAGATCTGAGCAGCATTGCTGTGAGCTGTATTCCTTTCCTGCCCCTTGGAACAGCCACAGTAAGCAGATGTCCTGTGCTGTTTGCTTTTCAGGTAACATCTGTCGGCACCTGCTGCCACTGGTTCAGTGCCCCACGCTAATTGTGCACGGGGAGAAGGATCCTCTGGTCCCACGTTTCCATGCCGACTTCATACACAAGCAAGTGAAAGGGTCTCGGTGAGTGTGGGGGCCAGTGTCTGCAGGTACCATCTCTGCCCCAGTTGGTGGGAGAGCCATAAGTGGTGGGAAAGGGCTCCTCTGATCAGTGCCCTTGTTTGTGGTGAAGGGAAAAGTGTATGTAGGCACCGAGTTCTGCAGTGTGGCTACAGGTTAGCCTGATGTTAGTCCTGGCTGACTGAAACAAGTTCACGTAATTTGGGAACTTTTAATGTTTTTTTGTTTTTTATCATAAAAGGATTTCCTACCTAGGAAATATTGTAAGATACAAAAAGAAAACAATTCTGGGCTGGTGAGATGGCTCAGTGGTCTAAAGCACCTACTTAGAACAAGCTTAACAGAGCACAGTGGGCCAAGGTTCAATCCCCCAGCACCACATGCCAGCCAGCCCCGCCCCCTGGTGGGCTGAGCTGGCCACACACACACACACACACACACAAAATTAAAAAAAAAAATTTCTGCTTTGCAGGCCACCCTTTTAAATACTACTGTTATGAGCAGTTTTCAACATAGATGTAATCATATGCTATGTTGAATTCAAGTGATGCTTTTTTGTCACTTTAAAATTATATTGTATGCTTTTTTGGCCTTAACCATTGTCTTAGTTACTTTTATCTCATTGCTGGGACAAAATACCCAACTCACAAAATTAAAGAAGGAAAGGTTTATTTAGCTCACAGTTTGTGGAGGTTTCAGTCCATACTGGCTGGATCCAAGGCAAAGAGGCACATGGCAGAGGGCAGCAGTTCATGGCTGTGGGAAACAGCGAAGCAGCAAGAGTGAGAGGGAGGAGTAACGGCAACAGAGAGCAAGTCTTCTCCCTTAGGTCGCATTGAGGCTGTCCGCCCCCAGCCGGGTGTAGCACTCACACCCAGAATCCCAGCACTGGATCAGGAATTAATCACAAGCCCTAGAAGTCCGCCCCATAACTGCATTAGGCTTTGGGGAGACAGCTAGACACAAACCCTAACAGCCATGTATGCCCCCAAATGAGAAGTCTACTGAGCATCGTAGCGTATGGCTTGGAGCCACCATCTTGGTGGCCTGCCTAAGCCCTGTCTCTTGGTCTTTCTGTCCTTATTTCTGCCAGTCCACCTTGGACACCAGAGTCTTATAAGATATGTCAGCAGAACTTTTATTCAGTCTTACCAGTTATTACATGACATAGAAATGTATGTTTTAATTACCTTGGCTGACACAGAAGCCAGCTTTCGCTGGTACTTTTTCACAGAAATTTCCACTGAATAAAAACCTTGGGACCTTGGGGCCAGAGCTATAGCTCAGTGGTGCAGCACCTGTTGGAGAGCATGAGGTCCTGAGTTCGATTCCTGAGACCAAAAGATTCAATAAATAAAACCCTTGTTTCCTTCACATATAGTAGATGTATACCCCAGGGACAATGTTATCAGTGGCCTGATCTTTGGTTTTAAATATATTAGAAATTTGTAATATCCAAATGAGCCTTGGCCCTTCAGGGACTGCTCAGAATTATTCAGGATATCTTTGGAGTCTATGGAATTCTTTTGCAATTAGATATAAAGACCTAAGAAAACACTTTCTCCTTCCTTCACATTCATATGTCCAATTCTAATGAGTATCAGGGCCACAGGGCCACAAGGTTGACAGTGGGCCCTGTCCTCAGAACTTGCGGCCAGCAGGGCAAAAGGGGCTGGACCTTTCTACTGCCGCCTCCTGGGACTCTTCTCCTCCTAGCTATAGATTGCCCTTAAGAATTTTTAAATGCAGGACACTGTTTCTTATTGTACACTAAAGTACAGTCACTGTAAACTTTTATCCTACCTATAGGACCTTCTTTAAAAGTCATCTCTTTTTTTTTTCTTATCTCTTGTTTTCATTTTTTCCCCTTTTATTTTTTTAAACAAACATTTACTTGAAAGACAGTATGGTAGTAATTGGTATGTCATGACAAGCAATATGTATTTAGAAGACCAGAATGACAGGCATTCCAAGCATGGCCCTAGTATTAGACATTGCTATCTTCAGTGCAGTTGCTTAGTTCACAGGTATCAACATATATAGTTTGTCAGGGTGGGAATCCTACCAATTGACTGCTAGTTTCAATAACATGCTGAAGATTCTCAGGATTGTTGCCTTAACCATCTTGTGCATATAAATGTATGGCTTTGTCCCTGTTGTTTCCTAGCTTTTCTCCTTGCCCTCTCCTTGTTGTCTAATCCTCAAGTTCTTACTTTCCTTTTAATTGTGTTACACCTTTCTATTTGTATTTCTTCTTTTGAGTTCTTATACTAAGGAGACTGTACAATATTTACACATGTGGGGGCCTGCCCCTTAGCTCAGTTCTTTAAGTGGCTGCTTCAACAAAGCAGTCAGGCTCAGGTTGCTGTGGTTCGATCCCCACAACTCAAGCCAGCCGAACCTGCCCTGAAGGCATTCGGAGCAAAAAAAAAAATATATTTATGCATGAAGGTCTGGTTTATTTCACTTATGAGTATATCTTCAAGTGGCATCCACTTAAATATAAAGGCTTTGAGTTTATCATTCTTTATAGCTGAGCAATACTCCATTATATAAAAATACCACATCTTTTTCATCCGTTCCTCAGGTGACAGGCATCTTGGTCTTTATTCCACATATTTACCCCTATTCAGGTTTAAGCATGAATCAAAAAACTGAGCATCTATATTGAATAATCCATGTTCCATTTGAATATAAAGTTAAGAATAGAGGTAGAATGTAGATTAATCTACATTATATATAATAATATAATCTTAATTTATGTTTTACCTTTATTCTTGGTTGTGTCTTGGTTCTTTTTTCCTTGTTCTTGGGACAAAACACCAGACACCCAAAATTAAGGAAGGAGAGGTTTATTTAGCTCAGTTTGTGGAGGTTTCAGTCCATACTCAGCTGGCTCCAAGGCAGAGCGGCACATGAGAAGACAGCCATTCATGGAAGTGGAAAACAGCAAAGAGCAAAGGGAGGAGTAGCTGCTGCTGCAGCTAGCCAGCCTCTCTCCCCTCCTTACATTTGTATGCAGATTACCTGCCCCAGATGGAAGTAGCCCTCACACCCATAATCCCAGCATTGGATCATGAATTAATCACAGACTGTAGAAGCCTGCCACATTGACTGTGTGAGGTTTGGGGGACACCTAGACACAAACCATAACAGGTACAAATACAATTTAGTAGAAAAGTTTACAGATTGCCTGAGTTCAATCCCCGGTTCTGCAAAAAAAAAAAAAAAAGAAAAAAAAAAGAAAAGTTTACAAATTGACTTAGTAGACAATAAGGCTATTTCCAAAGTAGACTTATGAAATTACAACACGAAATCATGGTTGTGGTACCAAGTTCATTTTCTTATTAAGCCTTCCTGAAGTTATTTTAATTATTTTAAATTAAGTTACTAATTATTGTTATTTTAATTAAATTATTTAATTGTGTATATTTACGGTATACAGTTTGATGTTTCCGTATAGAATTTTACATTTTCTGTATCATATCTCATTATACTTCACAACAAACTCACGAAAAAAATCCATTTTGCACATGAGAAATCAAAGCTGAACCATGTTAAGCAATCTTTCAAACTTGCATAGTTAGTAAAAGACAAATCCTATGTTTTCCCTCCTAATACAGTGGGGTTTCCATAATAGTATAGCTGTTCTTATGAATGCACTCTTGGTACAATGCTGAGATTCTTAGAATGACATATAAAGTGGCCTGGCTAATTGTCTTCCAGCATCAGAAATGACAAGTTTTCGCACACTAACATGCATAGTAAGTAGGGTTTGTTCTCTTCAAGAGCCAGGTTCAATAAAATTCAATCTGTGGTAGCTTAGGAATTCTATCCCAGACCCATCTCCTAGCAACAGAAAATATCAATATGGGAGGAAAGCGTACTCTTTCCATGCATATATTAATTGTTCCAATAGACTGATTTATGGAAGACCATAGTCTTATAGCAGTATTCTTTGGAAAAAGTGGATCGTAGGTAAAGTGTTACTAGTGATGCTTGTTTAAAGCTGGTCTGTATTTTTCATTCCTTTGGCTAAGAGAGATCTTCATATTGGGTATGAGTTTTCCTAGAACACGACTCTTTTATTTGGAACCCACAAAAGGAAGGTGAGTCCCTTGGGCTGTTTCCTGTGATTTTGGCACAAGCTGTCTGCCATAAGGAGGCTGCACAGCACAGCAAGCTTCCGGTGCAGGTTGCTTTTCATTGCTTGCCAGGTGCATTTGTGGTTAAACTTGCAGGCCTTGTCTGTGCCGTCACGATTCTTATCAACAAATACATAGTGTGTGAGAAAAAGGCGTGGAGCTGTTTTTCCTTCCTCAGAGCGAGACCTGCATCCAGGCTGTGTTAATTTTTGTCTCCTTTCCTTTTCTTTGTCTTTGTGGGCGGGGAGTCTTGGAGTCTCTTAGACACAAGGAAGCCTTACAGATCACTCATTTTGTGGTTTTAAAAATGTGTGTTTAGGCAGCAAACTTCCTCCTTGTACTGAGTTGTAGACAGAAGTCAGAACATGAAACTCAGTGACAGCCACCCTGAGTGCAGCAGCAGACCGTGCCTTCCAGGTCCTGCAGTGTCCCTGGCCACTGGGCCTCCACTGCATCCAGCTCCCTGCTGCTCTGCCAGCTGCCAGCTTCACTGCCACCTCTGTGGCTCGCCAGCCTCTGCAAGGTGTCTCCTGTTACCAGGCATGGCGGGCATGGTGCCGCCCATGCGCCAGCCCAGCTTGCTTTCAGACAAGCTCGCAGAGCAGAGGTTCAGCCTCTAGTGGGTTGGGAGTTGGGGAGAATTAGGGGACAGCAGGGCTGGGCCAGCTCACACGAGGATGTGTCTGCACACTCAGGATGTGGCTCTGGTCGCTGGCACTGCAGAGACAGACTGATGGAGATTTACAGGTACTTGCTGTCCTGTCTGTGCACTTTATAGCACTGCCTGAGGGACCAATACAGCTGCTCCCTTTATGCTTTTTGGCATAACAGTCCATAGGTTCTGTGAGATATTCAGCATCTTATTATGAAACAGTTTTCATGTTAGATGCTTTTGCCCAGTGGTAATGGTAGGTTACTGAACACCTCTAAGGTAGGTGAGGCTAGGCTGTACTATTCAATAAGGTAGATGAGTAAATGCATTTTTAGGAAGCCCCATTCTCATGCTGTGATGGGTTCATGGAGACCCAACCCCATCAGAAGCCAGGAACGTGGGTATTTCTTCTCAGTTCTGGAGCCCAGGATCACAGATTCAGGGTTGGTCACTCCTGAGTCCTCTCTCTGCGGTTTGTAGCTGGCCATCATCTCCCTGTCTTCACGGGATCTCCTTGAACCTGTGTCCTCTTCTTATAAGGACAACAGACCTCATGGATTAGGACCCACCGTGTGACTTCATGTGTAATCCTAAAGTCTGTTTAAAGCCTCTTTAAATACTCCAGAATTGTACCATATTCATTCAGGGGGACAAAATTGAGCTCGTGACAGTGACAGTGTTTCCAAGATCAGAATCAGAATCCAAGGATTCAGGTCTCCGGAGTTATGGCCCCAGCAGAGAGCAGAATCTGGGTTGCAGAGCCAGCTGCAAGCCCCTTCTTATCTGACTGATTTTCCTGGAGAATGATTGCTTGGAAACCATGCTGCACAGGCCATGTGATTGGATCTCTTTGTTGTCTGGGTGAGAATGAGGTCAGTGGCAGAGCTGCTGCATGCCCTTGACAGCCAGTGCTTACACCTGTCTACCGGCCTGGTCCCAAAGACCCACACAGGAAGATTTCACTCCGCGCTATGTATCAGAGATTCAAGAGACGGTGTACAAGGACCTGAGAATGACTCTCAAAAGGGATCAAGGACAAGAACAACTTTCCTGATATTCTCTTTATCTGCTTTTTTAAATGTCCATCTCTCTATGCATCTGTCCCGCATCCCAGGCAGGACTCCCATATTTTTAATGAAACAGACCTACTTTTGGTTTCCCCAAGGTCCAGTGGTTACTAGTGGAGGAGTCCAGACAGCACTGAAAAGCAAGAACTCACAGCTAGTGAACAGGAACCAGGCAAATCATAGAAAAGGGGCGGAGCTCGTGGTAGCTAGGCTGGATGTCCACTGAGGAGGACTCCAAGTGTGGCGGGTCAGTTTCCTGCCGCAGAATCCAGGCTGGCCCAGGAGATGCAGTTCCGCCTCAGTACACCCTTCTGTAACCCTCAGCAACCTTGGCAGCTGGTTCTTCTCTGTCTCCCTAGACCTGAGGCCTTGAGCTTCCCAGCAAGCCTTGCGGGGTGCCTGGGAGGGGAGACGTGGCCTGGGATCCTCTCTCTGGCATCAGCACAACACGTGCTTCTTTTTTGAATAGAAGTAAAATTGAATTTTTGTATTCTGCTTCTTATTGATGGTGCTGTTAACCTTCCAGGAGCACCCAGTAGTGCCAACAGTCTGCCTTCCTTTCCAGTGAACCCCCCAACTCTTCTTTGCCCCACCCAGATCAAGTAGTAGTCAGTGGGATTACTGGAGTCTTGGCCCAATATATGCTTTTAGACCAGATGACTTGAACCTGTGCTTATATATCAGTCTTAAATTTTCTGGCAGCTAATGAATACTGAACTCAGAAGGTTGTCTTTATTAAAGAAATTGCAAACCAGTCCCCACCGACCAAAATCCCGCTGAAAGGAGAAAGCCTGACAGGACCCAGGGTGGCCCCCAAGGTAGCCGGCACAGCTGTAGCAGTGGCTCTCCGCACAGGGCTGCCACTGCAGCCCCGCCATCCTGAGGGCCTTAGAAATTGTGCCACTCATTCATGGCTGTATTCACGCTTATTTGCCCAGCACCAGTAGGGTCATTTGAAACCTCGAATTGATTTCTGCTTTCTTGCTACACAGATACCCCAGGGAACCAGACCCAACCTGGGAGATTCTGGACAGTATCACTTTTCTAATCTTTTCTCTTAAAATCAAATTTATTATAATGGATTTTTTAAAATGCAACCAGCAGAGCACCTTTCCAGTTCTTGGTTTTCCAAATACAGTGTGTCTGTGGGTGTACAGTGATGGTCCTGCAGTCACCCTCCAGAGGCCAGACCTCCGAGGGAACCGCTCTGTGTCCACAGTCGTGGCCGTGTAGACCACTGTCTCCCGTGCCTCAGAAGTAGTCATGCGGGAGAGTGAGGGAGTTTTGCTAAGATTTTCATGAATTGTTGGAGGGGGAGAGGATCTTTCAGCGGTGTGCTGTTTGTCAAAGCTGGTTTTTTCTTTTTTAGGTTGCACCTGATGTCAGAAGGCAAACACAACCTCCACCTACGTTTTGCAGATGAATTCAATAAGTTAGCAGAAGACTTCCTGCAATGAAAAAGCCCCACAAATGCTTCCATCCTGGCGCATCCTGGGTGGGGCTGGATCGTGCTGCTGTGGGCTACAGTGCCCATGAGCCCTTTCCTGCACCACACCCTGGGCCACTTGCCTTTCCAGCCTCCTAAAACCTACTCTATGGTGTGCTCCTGATCTAACAGGAATCATGATGTACTGCACAGCCTGTAGTTTTCAAGGCTTACAAAGAGCAATCTGACTTTTTTTTAACATTGAGAGTTTCAATCATTGTCTAAGAAAGTAAATCCCACTGTAATTTTTTTCCAAATAAATATGAGATGTCACATTTGTAGCATTTAAATTGGCCTTGCCAGGACTGCTGAAATCATAGCATACCCTTTATCTGACAGGTGTAGCTGCATTTGGCATTTGGTTTCTATTTACTGCTCAAAGAAAACAAGATAGAATAGTCCTCCTCTGAAGGCTCACTGGGCTTTTGGAACAGTGGGAAAAAACAGAAGGCAGTTTGCTTGATCCCCAAATGACTTTACTCCTACATCCTCACTTCTGTGAGATTCCTTTAATATTGTTGGTCAGTAAAGGAAAAATAAGTACTTCTCTCTTTATTGAAAGATCAGGAATGCTATTAAGAAAAATCACTAAAATCACATACTGCTAATAAGATTAAAGTCTGAAACCTTTTTAAAGAATAAAAATTTGGAGGGGAAGGATGACAAGGTCTTATACACATGCTTTATTAGTATAGATATCTTGGACAACACTGATTCTGAGAGGAGATCCACGTTATTACATCAACAGTAAATCTCTGACAGAGGCAAACTGAGCACCATAGGATACAAAGAGACCATGCTAGAGGACAAAAGTTCACTAAGGATGCAGAGTTACTTCAAAAGTTCTCAAGCCTCGTCCTCGCCCTCCTCCTCCTCGAACTCCCCCTGTTCGTCGGCCGTGGCATCCTGGTACTGCTGGTACTCAGACACCAGGTCGTTCATGTTGCTCTCGGCCTCGGTGAACTCCATCTCGTCCATGCCCTCGCCCGTGTACCAGTGCAGGAAGGCCTTGCGCCGGAACATGGCCGTGAACTGCTCCGAGATGCGCTTGAACAGCTCCTGGATGGCCGTGCTGTTGCCGATGAAGGTGGCTGACATCTTGAGGCCGCGCGGTGGGATGTCGCACACGGCCGTCTTCACGTTGTTGGGAATCCACTCCACGAAGTAGCTGCTGTTCTTGTTCTGCACGTTGAGCATCTGCTCGTCCACCTCCTTCATGGACATGCGGCCGCGGAAGATGGCAGCCACCGTGAGGTAGCGGCCGTGGCGTGGGTCGCAGGCGGCCATCATGTTCTTGGAGTCGAACATCTGCTGGGTGAGCTCGGGCACCGTCAGGGCGCGGTACTGCTGGCTGCCCCGGCTGGTGAGGGGTGCGAAGCCGGGCATGAAGAAGTGCAGGCGCGGGAAGGGCACCATGTTCACGGCCAGCTTGCGCAGGTCAGCATTCAGCTGGCCCGGGAAGCGCAAGCAGGTGGTCACCCCGCTCATGGTGGCCGACACCAGGTGGTTGAGGTCACCGTAGGTGGGTGTGGTCAGCTTGAGGGTGCGGAAGCAGATGTCATACAGGGCCTCGTTGTCGATGGAGTAGGTCTCATCTGTGTTCTCCACCAGCTGGTGCACTGAGAGGGTGGCGTTGTAGGGCTCCACCACGGTGTCAGACACCTTGGGCGAGGGCATGACGCTGAAGGTGTTCATGATGCGGTCGGGGTACTCCTCGCGGATCTTGCTGATGAGCAGGGTGCCCATCCCCGAGCCGGTGCCGCCCCCCAGAGAATGGGTCAGCTGGAAGCCCTGGAGACAGTCACAGCTTTCCGACTCCTTCCTCACCACGTCCAGGACGGAGTCCACCAGCTCAGCACCCTCTGTGTAGTGGCCCTTGGCCCAGTTGTTCCCAGCACCACTCTGGCCTTTGAGGGGAAAGGGAATTTCATATTATGTCATTGAGCAATGGAAGAGTTGCCCCAGCCTTAGATAACCTTCTAGATAGTCTTTTAGATGTGCCTTGCTACCTAAGAAAACTTTTGGCCTACTGGTAAACCCTAAGGGCTTTAGCCAAGTAAAAAAGCAAGCTGGAAGAAAGCTTATGCTTAGCAAGCCCTGCTGCCCTAACATGAAGAACAGTGAACATTTTGTGAGTGCTCCAATTAGGTACAATTCAGCAGATCAGGCGATGCACAGCCCAGCAGACAGGACAGGCTCTCAGCTGAGTCCAAGCATGTGTCATAGCTCTGCTCTTGGCTTCCGGCACCTTGAAGTGGTCACCTGTGCTGTCTGCTCCTTTGAAACGCCCTGTGCCTACGAGGCCTGTCCTGCCCTTCAGCCTTCCCTAAGCCAGGGCTACTGCAGCCTGGGCAGCTGATGCCTAGCACTGAGCTGTCCAGACCAGGGAAAAGGCCCCGTGGGTGTGTGGCTCTGGCCAGCCTGGGGCTTCCCTGGACAGCGTCTCCCTGAACACAGAACCATGAGGTGCAGGGCTGTAAGCTCCAGGGCCCATGACGACATACCGAACACAAAGTTGTCTGGCCTGAAGATCTGGCCAAAGGGTCCCGACCTCACCGAGTCCATCGTGCCAGGCTCCAGGTCCACCAGGATGGCGCGAGGTACATACTTGTTACCTGTGGAAACAAGAGCTGCCTCAGACCTGTGCTTAAGCTAGAAATGGGAGGGCAGGGCCCTGTTGTGCATGGCTCACAGGGCCGAGCCTGGGACAGAAAACTGCAGTGCCCGAGACAAAGGGAGGAGAAGGCAGGAGTCTGCAGAATCTCTGAGGGGCTTCTCTTGCACTGGGCCTGTTCCGTAAATGTGTAGGACACTTCCCTGTCACTCCCCCTGCCTCAGAAGGAGAGCAAGGTGACACGGAACACTCACCAGCGGCCTCGTTGTAGTACACGTTGATTCTCTCCAGCTGCAAGTCGCTGTCTCCATGGTAACTGCCAGTGGGGTCAATGCCATGCTCATCACTGATCACCTCCCAGAACTGCGAAGGAGAGGAGTCCCGTCCTAGCCTGGCGCCTTCCCTCTCGGGAAGCATGGCCGTGGTCAGACAGCAAGGAGCCCTAGCCAGGGAGCCCAGAACTGCTGGCTGCTAATTGTACAGCAGCTGCTGCGGAGGGGCTGGGCATCCGCAGAGCTCCTGCCCTACTGTGGCCGCAGACGGGGGCTGGGAGGGCCCCTCAGGACTCTGTGGGTGCAGAGGGCTCTGGTTCCTCAGGGCCAAGTGGCAAGTGGCTGTACCGCGCTGCTCCACTGGACAGCTCTGTTGGCCCCGCCCCCCAGCTGCCCCTGGCCCTGAAGGCTCTGGGCACCGACCCCATGCAGCTTTTTGCCACTGACCTACATACTGGCCTCGAGCACTGACCTCGGCCAGACATGGGAAAAAAGACCGAGGGGGTGGCCATAGATGGAGCTCGCACTCACGAGGTCGCGGCTCTACTGCGAGGGTGCAGCGGGTTAGGTGGGCAACATGGCGCTTGGAAAGAGACCGCGTCCTTGCCAGGCGCCCGCCCACGCTCGTGCCGCGCCGTGCCCGCTGCCACCTCCCACTGCGACCGGAATCACGGCCGCCACCCGCTGCCGTCACCTGCGCCTGGCAGCCGGGAAGGGTACGGTCGCTTGTGTCATCCTGTCTAGACGGTGCCCAAGCAAAGAAGCATTTTCCTGACCTCTCCGCCCCTGTGACCACGGAGGAGCCTCCACTGCATCTGGCAGCCTAATGACACTGCAGTTTTCCACTCACCCTGACAGGCACAAATACCCAAACTGCACTTCAGTGAGGCCCGGATACACACGGTCCCCGACTTACAGCGCCACGCGCTGAGAGGCAGGTGCGTCCGAGGATGGCTGAACCCCGAGCTCAATTAAGGCTTTCGGCCACAACTGCGCCGCCTGGTCAAGGCAGATCCCAGACCTTACAGCCTCCCGGCTACGAAGAGCGACCCGGCCTCCCAGGACGACCCTCCTTCCCCACGTCCAGACCCCAGCCAGGAACCCAGCACCCCTCGCGCCCACCTTGGCCCCGATCTGGTTGCCGCACTGGCCCGCCTGGATGTGCACGATCTCGCGCATGGTGCCGGCTGGGAGAGGTGAGGGCGCTAGGCGCTGGCGCGGGAGCGGTGCGCGCTGCAGAGACCTGAAAGCTCGCGGTGCAGAGACGGCGGCCGGCACCCCGCTCCAACCTTTATACCCTGGACCCGCCCGGCTCACGTCACGTTACGTCACGGGGCGGGGCTGCGGGCGGGCGGCGCCGCAGGGACTGCGGCACCGCGAGGGGGAGCCGGGGCGCGGCGCGAGGTGCGGGGGTGCTTGGCCAGGCTCGGCGGGAGGTGTAGCGGCTTGGGTTCCGCCCACCCTGCATACAGAAGCCACGGAGGAACCCGGGAGGCGGCGAGGCGCCTACAGACCCGGTCCTCGCCTCTCCTTCTCAGTGGGGAGACCGGAGCCGCGTGGTCAGCGGAGCCTCTCCCTGCGCCCCGGGCTGCACCCGGGCCGAGCTCATGGACCCCGAGCCTGGTTCCCTTTCGGGTCCGGTGGGAATTTGCGGCGAGTGGCTTGTGGGTCTGCAGAGAAGATGGTCGGCTGGGAAGGAACCAGGAAAATCGCTGTATGCACATTTGTCACGTGTCTACTTTTAGCTCAGGTTCTTGTAAAAGCCTCTAAAATGTGGAACATTCTGCGTGCTCGCCTGTGTCTACGCGTGCGCGCATGTGTATCGAATCCCAGAGGATGCGAGAGGAGGACTAGACCAGCTGCAGTTATGGGCCCGTGTAGGTCGCCTGATCTTCAGAATCTTACAAACCGAGCCCCGCTCAGGATGTGTGAATTGACAGTGTCCTAGCGCAAAACAAGTTAAAATAGTGTAGAATCCTCCGTGGCTCATTTTAAAATATTGATCACAAATCAAAATGGTAATGTTTTGGATATATTGTGTGAAATTAATTTTCACAAATAATTTCATTTAAGTTTTAAAATTAGAAAAGTTTAAAACTACAGTCGCAGCTCCCGCCGACCATCGACCAGCACCGCGGTGAAGAAGGCAGAATTCCTACCCGTTTCACAGCGCTGAGAAGAGCAGGTGCAAGGGCGTGACCGTCCACAGCTGCTGGAGTAAAGGCCCTGGCCCAAAGAGGTCAGGACCAGCTTCAAGAAGGTGGTGCACCATGGGCTGGTGAACAGGGCCCCTGCCTTCTCTCTCGTGCCAGCTTCTCCAGATATAAAAATGATGGTAATTACAAGTGCTCTGTGAGCCGGCTGTGTAAGCAGGCAGTGAGAAGCTGCACATGAAAGCAGGTCGAGTTTATGGAGCAGAAATGCCTCCATAAAGCCTAGGGGATAGTGTCATTATAACCAGGGTGCCCCTCGCCCTGTTAGTGGTTGGTCTGTACTGGAAACAGGAGCCCACAGCCAGTTGTCCGTGCCTACTCTTTGGGCAATCACCACCATGCTGCGCTGTAGGAAGCCGCACCTCCAGGGTCCTCCAAGCGTGCAGGCAGGTGCTGGTGCCGTCCTGAGGATGGGGATGGATGACCTAGACTCTGACCCTGTCTCTTTCCCTCCCCAAGGAAAAGCTGCTGGCCCCGGCTGGACAGCTGTCCCACTGATGCTGTACCCCAGGGTCCAAGACTTGGCCTCACCTTCTCCCCACCCTGCCTCCAGCCCCAGCCTTTCGGACCCCAGAAGTGGCCCTGCTCTGGGTGACTTCAGCAATTAGAGTTTCACGCAGATGTCCTGGAAGTGGGTGCTTGTGGGCTATTGCTGTTCAAAGGCAGATATTTAAAGCCAATAGGAGCAGAGACTGAGCCCTGGAAAGGAAGATACTGGGGATGTGAAGTCTGATAAGGTGACATGAGATCACCCACTGTGGGTCCCTTTGTCACTCCATGGGGTGAGCTGGCTTTGCCACTTCCAGCCTTGGTCCCTTGTAGATCACCCCACCTCTGAGAGCCTCGATTTCTGTATCTGAAATCTGTTGTTACCCTGTGTGCCTGGGACACTGAGTCACTGTGCAGTAGATGCATCAAGGCAGCATGCATCAGGGCAGGCCGGGCACCTGGGCACTGGGCTTTGGCAGCAAGTGGCTCTCTAAGTCTGCCAGCCCTGCCAGCCACGCACCCATGCCTGCTGGCACTGGCCCTGTCCACCCCCGCGCCCGCCCTGATGTCTATTAATGTACCACCAGAGTGTCCACATGCAGATGTTTAAATAATGCCTGCCCTGCCCGAGGTGACTCATCTCAGGGCTGAGATCCCACTCTCCTCTCTGTGTAAATATCCAAACCTACACAATCATAAAGCAGTGCTATTTGCACAGCGCCGAGCAGATAATAACAGGAGGAAATGGAGCCGACAAATTCTCTTTTGCTCTAGAAATGGCTTCTGCAGAACTTCAAGTGGGGGGGAACTGCTTCCCCCACCACGCTTTCTATTTTTTCTTTTCTTCTAAAAGCAAGCAGTTCTACTGGCTGTGGGCAGGTAATGGTAAGAGATATCGATGTCCTGCAGCCGCAGGTCATTCCTGGCCCATAATCTCAGCACTCTGAGAGGCTGAGGCAGGAGGATCATAAATTCAAGCCCAGCCTGGGCAGCCTGATGACTTAGTGAGACCCTGTCTCAAATTAAAATAAAGCTGGGTAAAGATGTTAAGTTAAATTCGTGGGGGGGGGGCAGCCAAATATCTCAGTGGATTAAAGCACCTGCAAGCAGGCACAGGGGCCAGGGGTTCCATCCCTGGGCCAGCCATGCCAGCTCCACCCCCGGGCACCCTGAGGCAGCAATTGAAACTGGGCGTGGTGGCGTGTGCCTGTAATCCCAGCTCTTGGGAGGCTGTAAACAGGCAGAACATTACTCTAAACAGAGACCAATTTAGTAGTAGTGAGACCCTGAACACCCTGTAGATGTTCCCTAAAATACAAAAAAAAAAAAAGGATGTAGTTCAGTGTGAAGGCCCTGGCTTCCGGTCCTAGTACTGAAAAAGAAAGCATGACATACACAATATTTACATTGTATTAGGCATTACAAGGCATCTAGTAATGATTTAAGGTACACAAGAGAATGTATGTAGGTTCAAGACCATGGCATTTTTATAAATCACTGGAGTATTCTGTGATTCGTGTACTGGCAGGGGGCTTGGCCGCAGTTTCCTCTTGATACCAAGGGACAACTGTACTTATCCCCTAGAGTTGTCACCACAAGGACTGAATGCACTAGTGTGAAAGCGATACACGACCTCTGCCAGGAAGTCCGATGTAAGTCTTAGGTATCTATTGGTGTCATTTCCCTTCCTCCTTCCCTGCCTTCCCTTCTTCCCTCTGGGAGCTCCGCTCCATAAATCAGTACTCAGCACCAGTGCCACTTTCTACAGTTTGCATCTGCAATGTCCCCGAGGTTCTCATGAGTTAAAGGCTTGGTCCCCACCCTGTGGTGCCATTGGAAGTATGGAAGCTTTAAAAGGTGGGACCTACTGGGAGGAAGTGAGGTCATGGGGTGTGGCCCTTGCCCTCTTCCTCTTCTTCACTTCCTACCTGTCTTGAGGGCAAGAGCTTCCTTAGCCTGTGCTCATCCACAAAGAACTGTGCTGTCACAGGCCCAAAAGGAGTGAGCCAACCAACCATGGACTGACACTTCTGACACTGTGAACCAGACCTTTCCTTTTTTAATTTGATTATCCTAGGCATTTTGTTACAGCAACAGAAAGTTACCATGGTCACGTTCTCTGTCACATTCTCTGGAGGAAAAATGCTCCCACTGCTGTGCCCGTCCTACTGAGTGCACACCTGCTTATTGTAGTCCTCCCCCTGGACCATGAGGTTACCCATGGCAAGGAAGGTGGCACTGCAGATGTGAACAAGCAGCACACTCCTAAGCCATGCATTGGGACATAAATTGAATGCTCTTTCTCCCACCCATACCCGTAGGGTGTCCAGGTCAGTGGGTGATGCTCTGTGTGGGCCCAGGTCCTCCTTTCCACTTTGGGAGGTTGCAGGAACCAGAAAGCCTGTCCTTATCACCTCTCATCCTTCTAGCTCCCTTGTCACTGTTTGCCCCCACAGAGGCTTTTTTCACACTCCACCAGAATCAGGGTTGCCAAGAAATTTGGGTGGATCTGTCCTTGCTGCACTGTGTGGCCAAACCAGAGTGGAAAAAGCATAGGTCATGTCTTCCAGAAACTCCAGAGCCCTAGAGCTGTACTGTTTTACTTTTAAGGCTAACAGCAATTACTGGAAGGTTGACGTCAACATTTTCCTCTTGTAGTGAGGAAGCCAGCTAGGCTGTGCAGAGCCTAATGTCAATACCTTCTGCTGAATGCATGCCAGGAGAGCCTCGGAGCAAATGGGTGCAAGCTGAAGGATAGGATAGGGAGCTGTGCCCTAGGGCTCCGGTCCAGGAACTGTGGCCTCCTCCGCTCTTGGATGGCGTTCCTTTCCCAGTTATTCTGGGCCTTCCAGAGCCTCACACTGCCTGGATGTTAGCCTCTGAGGCAAAAGCATCCCCACCCTATTTACCCCCAGCCTCCTGTAAACTGCTTTCTCCAGAACAGTCGTTGCAGTCAAGTAGCAAGCAACACTTGCAGGCTCATGATATCTGTGGGGAAAATGCTCTAGGGATGGAGCGCCTTCTAGCTCTTAAAGAATATTGAGGTCCATTTTTTAAAGATTAGTTTATTGCACCTAGAAGATTTAAATAATGAGAAAAATTTGCTCTCCTGGAACCCACTTGTTTGTGTGTCCCTGGGTCTTTGAAAGGAGCCCCAAGATGTCTCTCGTGCCTATAGTTCTTGCCTTTGTTTCCCAGACAAGTCCCAGAAATGCTTGACTTGGCCATGTAGAAATGATGCACTTACAACTAATAATTTCCATGCACTATAAAACAAGAGAAGTAGCCATCATTTTAATATGTGATAATAGATTGATGTTAGATTTAAAAAAAAAAAATAATTGGTCCACCATATCTGTCGATTCCATGTCTATGAATTCCACCCACTGTGCATCAAATACATTTAGAAACAACAAAAATGTTACATTTGTCCTGATCATGCATAGGCTGTTTCTCTTGTCTTATTCCCTAAGTGAGAGGGAATAAGACATAACAACTATTTAATAATGTTTCCATTGTATTAGATATTATAATTCATCTAGAGGGGCCACAGAGATAGCTCAGTGGTCTAAGCACCT